CCTGCTCTTCTACCTCTGTACTTCAGTAGCTGTACCACACGCAGCTATTTCAACGTAAACTGATTAGAGCTGAAGAAAATTAACAAACTCAGTTCCACTATTCACACTTCAAGTGCTTGGTAGCCACACGTGGCTAGGGACAACCATACAGGCCAGCACAGCTGATACAGGGCAGGGACCTGAGGCAAGCATCATAATTAGTTTTCCAAAAAAGCTAAGATATAAACAGCATAGTAAGAACAGGAGGAATTCCATCTTAAGGCTAAGATTCCATTTCAAAAGCCAGAAGTTAGGAAGTAAGATTCCTAACATATTCTTTAGCAAACAGACAAGAACTTAGCCCACCTTGGGGGTAAGGGCAGGCGGTCTTGACTGATATGTTCCCAGAGGAAAGTCACTATCCTGGGGAGGAACTAGATCAATAAAATTCTTGTGTTAAGTTTATTTTGCAAAATCAGCTGGAGGACTGATAATAGAGAGGAGATACAGTGTCTCTCACCTTGAGACCACTTGAAAGCTTACACCCCCGGCCCTTTGTCATGTTCCTGAAAAAGTGCTTAAAAGAGGGAATATTCAGCATGCTTCCTCTCCGAGGATGCCCAGACTTCCTCTCCCTTTAAGTGTGTAACTTTAAATAAAGCTTTCTCATTGTTCAACTTGACTGTATTTTGTCGCTCTGCGCCTTTCCAGTGGTGTTTCAGTTTCTCTATTTCATTCTATTTCCAAGTCTCCACTTTATTCTTGATAAGTTGGGGGCTGGGGGGCATGCTGAGAGCTCAGAATTGGACCTGTGAGTTCCCCGTCTCCTAGGTGACCCAGAGGGAACTGCAGCTGCAGCAGCCTGCCTGAAAAATCTCCCCTCATCCCGTGCTCCGCAGCTCCCCCAAATCCTGGGGTAGCAGGGGCTAGCCGCCATGCCCTGCAGATCCAAGCAGACAAGAGATGCCAGGTGACCCCGACTTCAGGAGCTGGTGAGGGAGACTGCCCTATGCTGAGAAGTTCAGCGAGCTCCCGCTCCCTCCCTCTGCACTTTCCTGCTCTCAGCTGCCTGCAAGGCCATACTCTTGCTTTGAATTCCTTCCTTACCTACACTCTTCCACGCTGCTCGAGACTCCTTCAGAGTCAAGAGCCCTCCCCTGTCTAGGTTGAGGTTTCACCTGGTGCACAGGGAGAGACCTCCCAGATGCAGCTGCCTGGCAACACGGCTATAGATTTTTATATTATGTTGCCGGGTAGCTGTGTCTGGCTGGGGAGGTGTCCCCCTGCACACTAGGTGAAGCACCAGGAGAAACCTCAACCTGGACAGGGGAGGGTTCTTGACTCTGGATGAGAAAGAATTTCTGAACAGGTCAGGCAAGTGTAGGTAAGGAAGGAGTTCATTAAAGCAAGAGCAGCAGGGAATAGCAGCTGTCTTGCAGGCAGCAGAGAACAGGTAAGGGCAGAGGGAAAGAGGGAAAGAGGGAAAGTTCTTGACCTAGGGCAGATTCCCTTGCCAACTCTTAAAGCCAGGGTCACTTGGCATCCTGTGTCTGTTGGATCTGCACAGCATGGGGACTAGCTTCTACCACCCCAGGATTTGGGTGAGCCACAGAGCACAGGATGGAATGAGATTATGTTCTGAGAATTTCCCTAAGAAAGGAGATTTTTCAGGCAGGCTACTAAGAGCAGATCGCACAGATGCAGTTTTGTCCAGGTTACCCAGGCAATGGAAACTTGCAGGTCCAAATCTGAGCTCTCAGCAGCCCCTTCCTACTTATCAGCAGTAGAGTGGAGAGACAAAGTGAAGACTTGTAAATAAAATGAAATAGCAAAGAGACAAAAGGCAATAATTAGAGCAGTGAAAAGGCTTTATTTGAAAGTATGCACTTAAAGAAAGGAAAATGCAGGCATCCTCAGAGAGGAGGGGTGCTGACAGGTTGGGTATTCTGACTTTTAAGGCTTTCAAGAATGGGGCAAAGGGCAGGGAGGGGTTGTTGGGTGTAGGCTTGACTTGTGGTCTTAAGATATTTATCTCTGATAAGAGACACCAAGTCTCCTTTCCTTTATTATGAGTCCTCCAGCTGATTTTGCTAAACAAACCTAACACAAGGGATTTATCCTGTTCTTCTCCAAGATAGTGGTCACCCTCAAAGCAGTGGGGACATATCAGTTAAGACTGATTGCCCTGTCTTAAGGTAGGCTGGTGGGTTATTGCTGATTACCAGAGAATATGTTAGGAATCTCAACTCTCTGCTATTTAAAATGGGATCTTAGCCTTAAGATGGGGTCCCTCCTGTTCTTACTATACTGTTTATACCTCAGTGTTTTTCATCATAGGCAGGAAAAGTTAATCATGACGCTTGTCCCATGTCCCTGCCCCACCTCAGTCACACGGAGTTCTAGTGGACAGTACTGCTCTGTAATACCCACGCCTGCAGACCCTCCCTCTGTCCCACGACTTCCATGCAGTCTGCCCCCTCTTGGCTTCCACGTCCACACATTAAAGTCTCCTCGTGTCTGTCTGAACTTGACTTTACCAGTCACTCTTTTTCCCACTGTCCCCTGAACACAGACATGTTCCAAGGCTTGCTCTTCTGGCCCCACTCTCCCTGGACAATCCCTCACACTGGCAGCTTCCCCTATCATATCTTTAGCAAGTGAGTCCCAAATCTACCTGTACATGCCGCTCTCTAAAGGTTCAGATTTCCACCTCCAGGGGCCAGCAGGTTCTCTCTGTTCTTCTGGGCTGTCTTTCCTGCCACCATGCAGCTCAAGCACAGCTGAAAACCACAGAGCAGTCCACAAACAGCAATACCAGAGGTTTGAATAGGTGGTCACTGAGGCAAAAACTGGGAGGCCAGCAGAACGTCAAGGGCCAGATGAAGAGGTCTGAGAGTCACAGGCAAGAAAGAATTAGTACCTAGGCAAGTGAGATGGGAATGTGGAAAAACCCAAGAGCACAGTCCTACCAATTCTGCCAAAAGACATGTTCTCCCTCTGTATTTTTAATTAGCAGCCCATGCATACACTGGCTCCTGCCCGAGGACCTGTCTCTTTCATACTTAACACATCCAACATGAAACGCATTATCTTTCCCACAAAGTATCTTCCTCTGAGTTCCTCTTACCAGCAAATTGCTGTTCCCCCATTACAAACCCATGCTAGAAAACTAACACACACCCTCTCCCACTGAAGCTAGCGAGCACTGTGGAGTGAGCATGCACCGTGATAAGGAATCAAAAGACCAAGGCTCCAGGTCTAGCTCTCCCACCCACTAACTGTGGGATAAAGTCTTTAACCTGTCTGGATCTCAGTTTATTCATTTGTAAAATAAGGGTAATAAAAATCTTTGTGAGGCTATCAAGCCAACCATCTTAAAGCACAGATTTCTTTGTATCTGCTTGAAAACCAAGATGATTCCCCAAATGATTCTTAATCCACTTTATGAAATTCTGAGGCAGGTGTACACAGTCTCTCTCATACATAACACACACACTTACACAACTCTCAGGATTTTCAAGATCTGAAGCCCATTACTCCTATCTCAGATTCAGAACACTGATAAGAAAAAATACTGGAATGTCCTAAATTAAGTGACATAGGGCTGGAGAATTGAGGGAAAGAGACAAAGTGAGGTAATCAGTCAATAGTCAGGGGCCCTAGATAACCAGAAACCCCACATTCCTGGGTGAAGTCATTTCAACAGTCATCTAGAAGGTCCCCAGAACCACTGCATCCTCCTTGTGTGTGACCAGTGTCTGACCATCATCAACCACCAGGCCACAAGTCTTCTCTACAGACTCACCACCTATCCCAGAACTTCCCCCTTTCTAGTTAGCCCACTTTACTTATTTATAGCCAATGTGAATTTAGAAAACGTTCTTTCCTTCAGACCCCTCATAAATGTGCCCCAGTACTTGAGTCTGGCCTTACTGCTGGTGTAGCAGACACTTCCTGTCCCAGGACTCAGTCCTTTATCTGGCTGCATCTGTAAAGACTCAATAAACCCTTTTATTTCAGTGATCTCTTGGTCTCTACAGTTTTTGATTTGTCACACCTAACTCAAGATATTAGAGTTGAGAGTCTTTACTGTGGCATTAGGTCCTCTGCAATCTGGATATAATCTACCTTTCTGGGTTTTTCTACCAGGACACCTTTGCCACGACTCTGGATGACACTGTTCCCTAAACACACCACAGTATTCCCATAGCTTATAATGCCCACCTTTCTTGACCACAGTGATGGCAGGGTGGGGAGCTGGCAAAGAGTCGAGGCAGAATACCTAGGAGTACTCATCTCCAGACTTCATGTGAGAAAGCAAAAAAACCTCTACCTGTTTAAGCCACTTACTTTGAGCTTTGTTATTTGCAACTCAACTACCATATGAACAAAATCTGTAGGGTTATGTAAGTGTTTAAATAAATGCTCCTCTTCCCAGAAGCTTGGAATATACATCAAAATTTAACAATGGCTAACTTTGAGTTAACACGCTATTTTTTTATATTTACCAAATTTCCTATAGTGATCTATATTATTTACATTATCAGAAAACAACATCTGTTTAATGTTTTATTAAAGAAAAGAAATAACAGATTGTCAAACTATTGGTAGATGTAATAAGATAGCTGGCTCTATGGGGACATTTGAAGTAGTAGATCTCAACCTTCGTGCACATTCAAAACTCCCAATGCCCAGCTACATCCCAGAATAATTACATTAAAACCTTGACAGTAGTGGGGGAGGGGGGGCGTTTAGTGTCAGGTCTACACATCAGTATTTTTTAAAGCTCCTCAGTCATTCTGATATGCAGCCATGGCTGGGAACCACTGTTTTCAATGGGGAAAACAGCCTGGAGGAAGGAACTGTATCTGATTCATCTTTTTATCCTCAGAACCTGGCCCTGTGCCTAGCATGGAGCAAATACCCCATGAATGTCTCTGAACAAAAGTATGGCAAAGTGCAAGTGGCATAAGGGAACATCCCACACAAGACACAGGACACACCCGAAGAGCGTGGCTCACCTCAATGGCATAGCAGAAGTCAGCACCTGCTGTGACAGCCATCATTGACAAGAGCCCAGTGCCAGTGCCAATGTCGAGAACCAAGGCCTTCTGTCCTCTGTCCTTCACCCTGCTCACAGCAGCCCGGATACCTTGGTAATATTTTATATTCTAAGAGAAAGGGAGAAATAGCTGTCACTTCATACCTATCATTGTAAGTAAGTAGAAAAGTGCTTTTCGCAGTTCCACTGGCAGCAGTTCTGTAAGTCACGACCTACGGGCTCTCTGGCCCTCGAGGGGCAGCACCGGCTGGGTCAGGCAGGCCTGGCAAGACTCCAAGAGCAGCGGGAGAGCCTCTTGCCCTTTTATTAAGCAATTGCCCCTCCCCTCCACACCCACAGTTCTGTAGTCTGCTTAGGGATGCTGGGGCTCTGCAAGCCACATTCTCCTCTTCCCAGCTGTGAGCTACAAGGGCAACTAGAGGGTGACTGGAAGGTAGGAAGAGCAGGAAGGTTCCTTCCCGTAGGGCTGCTGCTCTCTTCATGTCATGTCCTCCCAGGAGCAGCAGCTGGTTGCAGACATGGGCTAACTCTCTGTCCTTCATCACCAGCCACCTCAGGCCCCTCCAGAGCAGCTGCAGTACTGCCCAGCTGTCCTTCTCAGAAATCTGAGCACCAGTTCCATAGGACTGGGTTCCGGAAACCCACCATCTTCTCCCTTTGTTTCCCCAGCCCTATGCTGATGCTCCCGTTTGCTTCCGAGTCCTTCCATCCCTGTGTAACCAATTCCCTCTGCTGAAATATGTAACGTGGCTTTGATTTCCTTATTGGACTCTAATTCATATGGCTTCCTCATCTAAAAAATATTTTTCCCCTCAGGAAATCATTTCTTCGTTTTTAGCTGAGGTCTTTAATAGCTTAAACAGATAACATGTCCATCTATAACAGTTTGGTTGAATAGGTACCCTAACTATTCTGTTGAAAATAACTAAAAATGATAGAGAAATTACTTGTAAATCTTTTTAAATGCACTGGTGAGCTGATAAGTTAGTAAGTAATATGAAAAGGCTAAACACCTACAAGTGGATTCACCTCAGTTAAGCCCCAAGATGACACTTGAGATGACAGGTGACACTTTGATCACAGCCTGTAAGGGACCCAGAGCCAGGGAACGCAGCTAAGGTGAGCCCACATTTCTAACCCACAGAAAACTGTGAGATAATAAGCCTATTACACCATTAAATTTTGGGATAATTTGTTATGCAACAGTTGATAACTAATAGAGCTGATATCAAAAGGGCAATATGCTCTGACCACATTGCAAACAAGTTAGAAATCTTAGTAACGAAAATATAACAAGAAAAATAAGACTTTTGAACATTGAGAAAGTCTAAACTCACAGGCAAAAGACTAAATCAAAAGGGAATTAAAAAATATCTAGAACAGAAGAACTTTTAAAATTACATTATAAAAATTCATGCAATAGCTAAAAGCAGTATTTGGAGAGAAATGTATTAGAAAAGACAGAAGATAAGGTAAGCATCCACCTCAAAAGATTAGAAAGAGGACTGAAAAATAAACTCCAAATAAGCATATGAATAAAAATAATAAAGAACAAAATTTAATGAACTAGTAAAAAAAAAAACAGTGAAGGGAGAAAAAGTACAATTAACCAAAAATAGGTGTGTGTATGAGATGGTATCAGTATATGTGCTGCAGATATCAAATGAGATTAAAGGACATTACAAAAACTTTTAGCAAACAAATTGGAAAAAAATCAAAGTGGACATTATACTAGAGATTCTATCCAACGAACTAGAGCAAGAAAAAAATGAATTAAGGCCTAAAAATAAAGAAAATTATTATTCATAGATAAGATGACTGTGCAAATACCGACAGATAATTATTAAGACTAAAAGAACAGAAAAAGATTACAGGATTCCAAATCAATAAATAAAAATCAATTGAAATTTTATGTATCAGCAATAGCTTTTAAAACCTAGGCAAAGGGAAGGATTTCTTAGACAGCAGACAAAATACACCAGCCAATAAAGGAAATAAAGGATAAATATGACATTAAATTTAAGAACTTGTATTACATCGATGAAAACCCACAAACTAAGAGAAGATACCTGTAGTACATATAACTAATGATTAGTACCCAGAATATATAAAGAACTCCTACAAATTACTAAGTCAGAAAAGAGGAAACATGAATAGCCAATGAACAAATGAAAAGAGGGCATACTCATGAGTAATCAGGGGAATGCAAATTAAAACTATAATGAGAGACTGGTTCAAACCCACCAGATTGTCAAAAATGTAAAAATTGATTAGTACCAAATACTGGTAAGGATGTGGACCGATAAGAACTATCATATATAGGTATGAGAAAATAAACTGGCACAATCACTTTGGAAAAGAATTTGACATTACCTCGTGGAGCTGAACACACTCAGTGGCCAGCAACCATTCCTAGGATACACAACCCTGAGAAAAAAGTAGGCATGTGCACCAGGGTACAGGTACTGGAATTTTCCAGTAGCTCTACTTACAATAGCAAGAAACTGGAAAAAAAAAAAGTTTACACAATGGAATCTACATAGCAGTGAAAATGAATGAACTACAGCTACATGCAAAATGGATGAATCTCAAAAACTGTGTAGAAGTCACAAAGAATAAACACAGTATAACTCCACTAAATAAAGTTCAAAGGCAGACAAAACTAAGAATTTTTTTAAGGATATATAATACATGGTAAAACTACAAAGAAAAACAAGAGGGTGGCTGATACAAAATTCAAGACAGAGGCGACTTCTGGGGGGTGAGAAGGAAAGGAATGTAATAAAGGAGCATACAGGAGAATCCTGAATAATAGCAATGTTCTATTTTCCTAAGCTGAGTGGTAAGTCTATGAACAGTTATTTTATTCTTCTTCTTTAAAATGTACATATACATTTAATATTCTTTTGTATGTCTACATCATAATAACAAAATTTTTTTCAAGAGCAAGAATGATACCAGACCTCAAAATAGCAATACTGGGCTCTAAAAGAAAATGGAGTGGTAATGTCAAAATTCTGAAGGAAGTGATTTCCAAACCAAAATTCAGATTTAGTCTATGTCCTACATATAAGGATAGAATAAAGAAGTTTTTGGATAAGCAAAGCCCCAAAAACCTTACCTCCCATACACCCTCTCACAGGGAACTGAGGAAGGATGTGCTTCACCAAAGAGAGGGGGTGAACCAGGGAGGAACACAGGGATCCAAGGAACAGAGGACCCAACATAAGAAGAGAAGTAAAGGAAATCTGCAGGACAATAAACAAGAACCTCAGGATGATGGACACACAGAAAGTCTAGAGAGCACCCAGTCCAGACTGCAGCAGGTCACAATGATCCCAGAGATCATGTCCAACAAAGTAAAACTGACAGAATAGCTGATTGTTTTGACTTTTCCTCATTTGTAGAATTGCGGAGGGGAGTGTAGAAGTCAAAGGGTTAACAAAGAGTCAGGAACGTTCTGCCAAGGAGTTTGGATTTTTACCTCAAAAGCAGTGAGAGGCCACTGAAGAACAGAGAAGTAACACGGCAGACTGGCGTTTCAGGAAGACCCCTCAGGCTGCTATGCATAGGAAGGAAAAGAGGGACCAACATCAGAAATGAGGGCTGGGAGAGAGGGGTTGAAAAATCCACAGAATTTGGTAACAGAATGAAGGCTCAGAAAAAGAAAAGGGCACCCTTTTGTTCGCTTGGCTGATGAGATGGATGGCAAAGCCCTGGCAGCTGGCGCAAAGACAAGCCTCTCTGCAGATGACACTATAATCAGAGGCTCACAGGCCCAAGAGTCCAGGAAGAAGCCAAGACCATTACGTCAGAGAGAACCAGTCAAAGGGCACAGTGTTTGTTCCACATTCTATAGTTCCCCAACAGCTCAACAAAGGCACTCAGGTATTTGATGAAAATTAGGCGGCACCTGACCCTTCTGGTGTATCCTACACACTAACGATGCTTCAAGAGGTGGTGCAGTCATGCTGTTGCCTAGTAGCCCTGTCATGCCGATCAGGGCTGAGTGAAGGAGACACCATCACCAACACAGCCTCAAGACCAACTCACCCTCGCAGCTGACCCTTCTCCCGCCCTGTTGGACTCAGTTTTTAAGCTTGGCCTTGCATCCTTCCCCTTCGAGCCTCCCAGCTTCTGAGCCATCCAGAGGAGGCTGAAGAGTCAAGCACTCTGGCAGACCAGGAAACTGTGGGTTGCTAACCGTAAGACCAGAACCGCAACATAACTCAAAGAAGACTCAGATGAAACAAAAATGGAGAAAAACTGCAATGTAATTCTGAATGAAGGCCAAATGTGCTTTACAAAATATAATCTGCAGTGACCTCTAGAGATTTGATCTTAAAATTATAAACTGACTATACAAGGTGAAAGCCTGTAATTAGAGAGTTTTTATCTAGAGATCATGGAGACCAGCTAGTACATCCCCCTCATTTTAAATCCTAGTAAGTGATGTCCCATGTTTTCTCCAAGGTCACACTCAGGTCAACAGCAGAGCCAGAAGCAGGACCCTGCCTCCTGACTGATCCCAACCACAACACCATATTGTCTCTGCATCTTTCCAATTCACATCACGTATCTGGGGCAGTTTTTAACCTTGTAATGGAAGGTTTTAAACACTACATCAAGGTAATGGTTTCCTTTACACTTACTCTGTCTTTGTCATGCAGCATATCAGCATAGGATGATCTAAAAACAAAAACAAAAAAGACAGGTTAGAAACCTCTGCTACTAATGATATATGTCAATATACCATAATAGTCACATATATAAAAGCATTCCTAAATCTAATGGAACAAACATCCAGGCCCATTTTAAACTACTCTAATAGAATTATAAGCTGCTATTTTTTGATACTATAGAAAAATATCTCAGAGAAAGGTATTTATTTTCAGCGAAGAACCTCAGACTTAAAAACACTCTGGTAGTTAGCCCGGTCACAGTAATTCCACAGCCACTGATCACATTATATGTCATACTACTTTTTCTCAAGAACAACAACTCAGACTCAATTTGCCTAATACCTTCATACTCTTGCACGCATCCATACAGTGGGATAGTCACAGATGCGACACTGGGACAGGAATCGGGGAAAGGGAAAGAACAAGCCTGCTGTATGTGTGGGGGTATCATGCCCGACGCCTTCCCTCATGTCATTGGGGAAAACTAAGAGCTCACCAAACTGAAATGCTAAAGGAAGGACAGGCTCTTATCTGTACTTTTTCTACCTTAGTAATTCACAAACCTGAAAAATCTCTGGCAGAGGACAAGCCCACAGAACTCAGCAAGTTCAGCCCAAAGATGCTTTCTGAGAGTTCCAAGTGACAGCCAAGGCGCTCTCACTGAACAGGGAACCTTCAGCTTCCGATCAGCATCAGAACCACTGAAGAGCTTATTTTAAAGTCAGGTTCCCGCAGAGCACAAAAAGAGATTCTGACCAAAATATTGGGCTGGAATCTGGAAATGTGCATTTGCCCTGGTTCTCCAGCCAACTGTGACACAGGCAGTCCACAGTCTGCACTTTGAGGAGCACTGCACTCAACAAACGGGTTTGTATTTTTTTAAATGGCACACCAAGGTTTTTACATCTGGACCCACCTAGGAATGTTTGGTTAAAATGTGGTCCTTTTTACCTTTCTCCACCTTTTAAGAGGTGCTTTCATTCCCCATGTTCTCTGCCTCATCACCCACTCACTCCCCACCAGTTCACTGACATCACTCTCCCTGAGCCCCCCCAGCTCACTCCCATCACTAACACCCAGGATTTCTGTGACCCTGCTGGACACTCCGTCTCACTCTCTGGCCATTCCCTCCTGGTTCTATTCCAGGATTTCTTCTGCAGCCCTCTACCTTTCTCATTCCACCCTGTGAGCTCCTACAATCTCTTCCAGTTTCAACTGTCACTAACAACTGCAAATTATCTCCAGACCCACATTTATCTGCCCACTGGCATCTCCAGCTGGATGTCCAAACCCAGACAGCTTCTCCTCTCCATCACCTTCCCCTCTCCAACAACACCCATTCCTCCTGTGCTTTCCCTCAGGAAACAACAGCTCCATCCACCACGTCACTCTACTCAGAAATCTTGGTACTTCTTGAATTTTCTCTCTCTTTCCATCACTGCATCCAATGAGTGACCAAACTCAAGTTCCCTCAAAGGTGTCTCCTCCTCTCTCCACCTCTACTGCCTCAGCTTTGGCTGCAATATCCACCCAAATGGTTTGGCTTCCTCCACCCCACCCCCACACTGCTCTCAGTGAGTGTTCCAACATGCAGTGCAGTTTCTCCCATTTAACATCTCAATCACCCAGAAAATAGAGCCCAAAATCTTTAAAAAGAACGTAGTATTTTTGAGCCCTTATTCTGCACCAGATATTGTATTTTAATCACTCATCAAACAACCCTAAAATAAAGATATTTCATGATGCATGTATGTATTAGACTGAGGCTTGGAGAAGTTGAGTAGCGTGGCCAGTGTCACAGAGTTAAGCAGTGGCAGAGCCTGGATTTACACAGTCCTCTTTCTATATTTTGCTCCCACCCTTTCCAGCGTGACTCCTGCCTGCCTTCCCAGCATCCTCTCTCACCATACTCCAGCTACATGAACTGCTGGCCACCCCCACACTAGCTCATCTAGAAGCTTACACAGGGTCCCTGCTACTCAGAAAGCAATTTCCCTCCCTTTAGATTTGGGAAGTCACTCATATACCACCCTCCAACCCAGCCAGTTATTACTGCTTCCATGAACTTTTGTGCCTATTTCTATTGGCACATTCCTTTGTCTCACAGTGTTGTAATTTTTTATGTCTGTCTCTTCCATCAAAATGGCCATGTTCCTTGAGGATGGGAACCCTATTTTCTTTATTTTTTGGTATTCATAGCCCTAGCACAGCACTAGCATGTTGCCTGGCACTTACTGACTACTAAGTAGTAACTCACATACATTTAACATTCCTTCCAAGAAAAAAAAAATGCATTTTCATCTGTCCATTTAAGAGAATTCAACAATATAATGAATGTGTCACCATTTCAGTGACTAAATCTCATAAGCTCTCTACTACTACTACTACTACTGAACCTTGGGTTCTCTTTTCTCCACTAGCCAGATCCTCTGGGACTCTGATAAGGCTGGTGCCACATCTCTCTCTCTCTCCACACGGCATGACTTTGCCTAACTCCCACACAAACCCACCTGGCCAAGCAGGCTGGCCCTGATCAGAAGCACTGGGTGACAGCCTTCACCACCCTCAGACTGGATTCCAAAGCATCTGCTTTTGAGATCAAGTGACCCATCCAGCTGTGGCCAACTGTAAACAAACTCGTTACCTTGCAATCTCCTGGTGGTAATCATAGTGCTCGTCTTCCTCTAGCCACTCCATGGATCCCGTGGCAGGATTGGCCCGCCCACAGAAGACCTTCATGGTGCTGATCAGCTCTTCAGTTTTGGAACAGAAAAAGCAGCCTTGCCAGCTAACTTCTCATAGACAGGTCTGACTGTCAGAAATCTATTCACATTATAATGCCCAAAACTGTAGCAGAAAGAAATAATTTTAGGACAAGAAAAAAGAGGAAAAAAAAAAACAAGTAAACAAAAATATCAGAGCCACTGAAAATATTGTTATTCAGTATTTTAATCTTTTCAGCTAGAGTTATTTGGTTTTATAGTTAGCATATAACATCAAAAACTATGGAACAGAAATTCATAAAGCTATCTGGAAACTTCAGCAGTCTTCAGTGATTTCAACAGGGTCAAATGAGCCTTACAGGTGCATCTGTGAGCCCTCAGGTAAAGGCAGGTGAGAAGGGAAATAAAGCAGAAGAAAAGGTTAGGAGGAAAGGAGAGCAAAAAAGATTGGGGTGGTGGTAAACAAGTGCCACCAATACCACCTTGGGATATTAAACACTTAGTTTAAGGAAAAATACAAAGAGCAATTCAAAGAAACCAGGAAAACCTTCACCTAAACAAACATATCATAGCTATATGAAAACCTGGATAATCCCAGGAATACAATAATGTTGAGCCAAAAAATAAGCAAATCTCATAACACATACAATATGGTTACATTTATTTAAAATTTATAATTATACAAAACAGAACAATATATTCTTCAGGGATCACACTAAAAAGCAGAGCAAGGAATGAGGGTAGTTGTTACTTCTGAGGGAAGAGGAAAGGATGGGATCAAAGGCCACACAGGGGACTTCAAAAGTAATAATACTGTGCTTTTTCTAAAACTGGGTGGTGGGACTACACGTGTTATGACTGTCATCTTTATGCCTCACTATTTTTTATAATGATCACTTCTTATCTACGCAATATTTAATTTTAAAAGCAAGTTTTAAAAAACCCCTCATCTAAAACTTCACCTCAAATAAAATGTCAGCAGATTCACGTCTTGTATGCTTTTTCCCCAAAGAGACCTATTTCTGAGACAGAAAAACCACAGCTCAAAGTTGGAAGGCACTTCTCAGCAGGTGTGGGCTCTCCCTGTGCCCTTCCCCTCTTGCCATACAGAAAACATCAAGTGTTCCACACTCCCCTTCCTTTTTTGTTAAACACTGATCCATCTTCAGGAAACCTTAGAAAGAATGCCTCCTGCACAGGTCCCTCAACATTCCTAAGGCATTTTATCCGCCAGAGTTACTTTCTTTTGAAGTTATTTAGCCTGAGTAAACATTGAATTCTTAAACAAGATGGAAACAATCTTTTCTGAAAAATCTGTTTCTGGAGGAGACAGGCAATTACTGGCCTGGTTCAAAGTAGCCAATTTGTCCTTCGGTGAAACCAGACTTCTAAAATTCCAACATATCTGTCTTCTCATCTAGTGGCTTTCAAAGTTTCTGACAACCCCACTAACAAACACACTTCACTAAGACACAATACACACGTGTACATATAATCAAGTTTCATAAAACTGCATTCATCCTTCTTATCGGCAAGGCCGTCTGGTATCTTCTATTTCATTTTTCTTTTTAAATTGGTCATGAACCACTAAATTGATTTCATAACTCAGAGAAGAGTTGCAACCCAGAGTTTGAAAAGCATTGCTACAATCAGCTCTGTACACCTTAAATGCTAATATTTATTTTAAAAAGACAGTATCTGGAACTATCAGAATCTGTAATGTGCTTTAGTAAACTTATGTCCAACAAATGCTGTAGCAGAATAACCACATCTGGCTGAATGTTCAAAGAATGCTTTAAAATAGGGTAGGATTTAAGTGGACACTTCACCAGACTAGACAGTCATGCATGGTGAATAAATCAGTTTAGCTTAAGTGAAACTGAACAAGGAGTCAAACATCAGTGGGGTCTATACTATGGAGAATCCTGAAACCTTTACCCTGTGTACAGGTGGAATCAATTCTGAAGTCATTTAAAAGTTAAGAGTGTAGTAAATAACGTTCATCTGTGGAACTGCCACTGTCTGTGATGTTAAGGAGTCTATACCTAAGACCACAGTGTCTTTTCAAATACAAGTCACTGGTTTCACATACATGTAAATAATGCTTGAGTATAGGAACCATCCATGCCCTGTAGCCTCTATGGATGAACACTACACATATTCTATGGCTAAATTCCCTCATCTATTATTATGACATCATCTACCAGAAAGAGTCCCCACTCCAGATTCAGGAGATATTCTGACCCCCTCGTCATTCTCCAAGAGCTGTGAACCCACAAGGTCATTTACAAGTGGGGGAATAGTAAACACTAAGCTAAGACCTAACTGCATTACTAGTCAAATTTCAGCAGACATTTGGTTCATTCACTGAAAATTTGCTAAGTACCTTCTATATGCCAGGCATTGTGTTAGGGACTAAAGAACTACCACAAAAGGAAAGGAGGTCCTTGTCCTCGAGAGAATAGATGTTAACGAGGGAGAAAGACTCAGTATAAACAACCACAAATTATGTGAGTGCAAAAGGAAATACACAAAATAATATAAAACAGAGTAAAAAGGTACAGAAACACCCGAGGAACGAAGCATTTGAGACCTAGAAGATATGCCAGGTTAAAAGATGGGTAACAATGCTTACATTTCAGGAATCCTTACCCAACTTTCCCGAAGAAAAAAAAAAAAAAAGGCCTTAAGGGGAGAAAGAACTAGGTGCATAATCAAAAACTGACAAAAAATTGAAGCACGTTGAGCAGAAGAAATGATAGATTAAGGGTGGATTTCTGCAAATCACACGGCCCAGTAGGCTTCGGAAAGGTGTATGGATTTTGTTCTAAACGCCCTAGGAGCCACTCAAGGACTTTAAACAGAAGAATTATCCACGTCGGGGGTACGCTTTTTACAGGGCCGCTCTGGCTAGTCTGTGGTGAATACTTTCCAACTGCTCAGAGCAACACAGTGGCTGGGAAACGCGATCCTGAGACAACGGGCTGAGGACTGGAATGCCGGCTGAACCCGGGACTCCAACCGGGGCCCCACCTGCCAACCCGCCCAGCTTCTCACCCGCAGCGGGAACCGCTCTATTCACTTCCGCCGACACCGCCACCACGTTGCGGCCGGCATGCGGAGGCGGAACCTTCACGTGACCGCTAGGCGTGCCGGGAGCCGAGGCCCGGAATCGGAACTCGAAGGCTCTCCCAGCACACCCCACGCGTTCCCACAGTCCTCTGCGGCAGCTGCTATGGAGGCCGGCAGGTCAGCTGTGCTCCGGGTGAGGCGGAAACGCAGCGCAGAGCCTGCTGAGGCTCTTGTCCTTGCTTGTAAGCGCCTCCGGAGCAGCGCAGTTGAGTCGGCGGCCCAAAGGACTCCCCCTGAGGACCTGGAGAGAGCAGCGGAGAATAATGTCTTCCAGTTGGTGGCCACCGTGCGCTCCCAGGTATTGGGCAGGGATGGAGTTGGTATGAAGGGGATCTTAGGGCGCAGCCGGGGTGAAATTGTATTCCTGACCCTTTCACGAGCCCCTGCGTACACCGGCCCCCTTTCCCTGCCGCCGCCCAGGAGGAACCAGTCCAGCCGTTCGTGCGGGCCGCCCTGCGACCCTCCGGGGGCAGCCAGCTGCGTATCCGCCGCAGCCTCCGCGCTTCTGCTCGGGATATCCGGCAGGAGGGCCGCTACAGAGTGGTCTCTAAGCACCGATCCTCGGGGATTCCCTTGGGTGTCCCGGAGTCCGAAGACGCTCCGGAAAAACCAGAAGCCTCCGAGGGTGCAGGCTTCCAGCTGTTCGACCTGGTCCACGAGGAAGGAGACTCAGAGGCCAACGCCGGGGTCTCCTGCAAAGTGAGTACATGCCCGGAAAAGAGCACTGGACTTCCCTGGAAGATAGTGCCAGGAGTCTAGGCGCTAAACACACAGTTAAGGGGGTGCACACGGCTTCATCTTATTGACGGATGGTCCATCAGGCGTGATACCCTTGTTTTACTGATAGGCTATCCATTTAACAAGTACTCACTCAGCGCCAGCTACTTGCCAGACATTGTTCTTAGTTTCTATGGATATAGCTGTGAAGACCTAACGTTCAGGTAGAGAGAGAAACAGTAAAGAAGTAAATTCAATGTCAGATGGTGATATGTATGGGCTGAAAAGGGGGGGAAAAGGCAGGAAAAGAGGGTTCCACTTCACAGAAGTGAAAGTGGGAAGCATAAGGTGGTTCCATTTCAAATGTCATTTGTAAAACTTGTAGGAGATGAACGGCAATGCACTGGGCATGTTTTGTAGAGCGGTATTCCAGGCTGAGGACTTGCTGAGGACAAAGGTTCTAAAGCCGAGTTTGTCTGGTGTTTTCCAAGTCAGTGTGCCTAGAGCCCAGTGAGTTGGGGGAGAATAGTAAGGAATTTGGGGAGAATATTCCTGCTAGGCCTTTTAAGTGCTTCTAAGGACACTTTTCACCTTGAGGTGGGGAATTATTGGAGGGTTTTGAGCAAGATAAAGATAGAGCAGATGGGAAAACTCACCAGGGTTAAAGGACTGGCCCTGGGTAGCATACCAAGTGTGAGGCAGATTCAGGTCTAGAATGCACATCTTCTCACATTTAATCCAGTGTCTTTTCACTACATTACATTTACTAACTTTGTTTTGTACTTCACTTCTGAAAAACAAAGTCTACTACATGCAATAAGACCATAGAAATAGAAAATCCTCAACCTAAAGTCTGCCCTTTTGATAAAACATTTTTAATTCACTCCTTTTATAGTTTCTCAAGTTTAAAAAATGAAATTTTAATTCAAAATATATCATGCAACTGTTCACCATGTAAGAACTTATTCACTATGTAAGACCTTGTTCACCATGTAAGAACTTGTTTGTTATGCTTCAGAAGATTGGAGACTGTTGAGATATAGGCTTGGGGTTGATTAATGACTGTGCATTGAGCCCCCTATACAGAATTTTATTGTTGTTAACAACCATTTGATCAATAAGTATCATGCAAGAAATATTTAATCATAGTATTAATATACCTAGTAGCAATTTGGGCATATCTATAGTCACATCTTTTACCAAAACGAATTTCCAGTCTAATGCATGAGTTACAAGTCAAGTAATCTTTAAAAGTAAACCAGTGATCAGTGGAATCAATCAAATAACTCATTCAGTTGTATAAGAAAAACTAGTAGATAAACTGATAAAGGATATGAACACAGAGTTTTCCCAACAGTGCAGTACAAACTAACACATCAGAATGTTTGCACAGAGTGATTATCTTTAAAAATACATGAATTAAGCTGAAGGCAAATGAGGTTTTATGCCTACTAGATTAGCAGGGGAAAGGTTATTGATAACACTGCTGCCAAAGCTGTGATTAAAATGGTACAGGGTTATCAGGCTTAGTATTGATGTAGACCTTTTGGAAAACAGCGTGACTTTACATACCACGAATCCAGAAACAGCTTGAGGTCTACTTTAAAGCAATTTAAATTTATTTTTATTGTGTAGACTCTAAAGCCATCCAAAAATCTGAATTTAAAAATTAGTGACAGTGTTTCTATGCCACATTACAATGGGTTTCTCCTTAAATTGAAACTAAGTTTTAAGCAAATAAAGTACTATGTAATAGGAAATCTGAAAGAGCAAAATGTCATTTTACCTACGTATCTCACCCCCAGGATTTGTCCTAGGGAAATAATTCAGCAGAAGCAAATAATTATGGTATTAACAAAAGCCACTGTTGGTTTACTAAATTACTATACATCCAGCACTATACTATTTACATTTTCTTTTAATTCTCACAAAAACCCTATGAGGTAGGTCTTTTTATCCCCATTTTTCAAATGCAGGAAACACATTCATTGTGAAACTGTATGTGGAAGCAAAAAATTGTCTGAGAAATTGACATACACAAACTGCCGGCCAGTTAAATTGATAGCAACAAAGACTGGCAAGAGGGAAAGTATTTACATATGTCTAACAGTAGAAAATGCTATTATGTTGTGTAATGAAAAATAAGGGTAAGCATACACATAGCCTAGACTTTCAAATAATTTTTCTTTTATGAAAATTATGTTAATTATAGGAAATTTGAAAATATATAGCAAAGTATAACAAAGTAAAGGGGGGAAAATACTCATTGTAACCCCCTTCAAAGGTAACTGGAGTAAAATTGGTTTGTTGTCTGAGTATAAAACACTTTTTTTTTGTACTAGTCTTTGTAAGTATTTTAATGGCTGCATAATTTACTGGACTAAGAGCTGGGGACTTGTGAGTTGGAGCCAGAACTTTCCTTGTGAACATCTTTGAGGTTGGTCAAGAGTCTGCACAAAAACTGACATCTCTAGCTCATTTTGACTTTGGAGCAAGGAAGAATTCTCTTTAGTCTATAAGTGATAGCACTGGTCTTTTGTCTGCTTTGGCCATGGGGTGCTCCCCACTTCCCCCTGGTTTTAGCTGCATGGCCTCCTGTGATGAACCTGTCAAGAGGGGTCAATTTGCAGCATCCCCCTTGTTTCCAGATTGGCCTGTGCTGCCCTGGATGACACAGCCCATGGGCACTGAAGCACATCTTTCCTGGGCCAGTTCTAGTCTGGGGATTATAGGAGAGTGCATTCCTGATTTATGATTAAAAGCAAGGTGTCACTGTGGGCAAGCCCATGGTGGTAATCATCAATGTCGGGAATCCCCCTCAGACTCCTAGAGGAGGCTACACAAAATGCAAACCCATTAGAAGTCCATACAGATGCTGCTATGGGCCTGCAGATCCAAAGGAAGAATAGCATACCACAAGAGCTCGGAGAAGACAGAAAACCTGGAATAGTAGCCAATTCTGCTGGCCCAGCCCTCCCCTCCTTTCCTCTCTCCTCCGCCCTCCCCTCTCCTCCTCTTAGGCCAGTCTTCTCATGTGCTCTCTTATGTCAGTCAAGCACAGAAGAGCAAGAGGCTGTCTTCTAAGTTTCTATCTCATAAGAACTCATATTTTAGAGATACTTGATTTTTAAATTTCATACTAATTAAAAAAGAGACTGGTAGGCCATGGAGATAAGAATTTTGAATCCAACATAAAGAACTATAGAGAGGCTCCTTTTTTTCCCCCAAACTTTTAGGTTCCTCCTCTTGGGACTTACATACTTCTGATCATGCATGTATCATCTCCTGTTTTCTTTACAGACATCTGACCCAGATGTGATCCTCTGCAATTCCACAGAGCTGATCCGTGAGCGGTTGACTGTATCCGAGGATGGACCAAGAGCTGGGCACCAGGAGGAACAGAAGGATGACTATGTATATGACATTTACTACTTAGAGATGGCCACTCCAGGATGGATTGAGAATATCCTCTCTGTGCAGCCCTACAGCCAGGAGTGGGAACTGGTAAGGGGACCCAGGAGCATGAGGGGCATGTGGCAGCCAAAGTGATTCTCTAGTCATGGTGCTTTGCCTCTCTGGGTTCCATTCCTAATCAGCATTGTTCTTGGTTCTTCTTATCCTTACTTAAATGTAAAATTTATTCTGAATGCTTTCTAGGAACCTGGGTTTCATGCAGAGATTTGTGTGAAAGACAATCTACATTGATAATTTTTGCTCTTAACCTTTTACAAGGTTTGCAACATCATCTTTATTGCTTATACCACCCATTCTAAGGAAGAAAAAAATGGGGACTTAAAGACAAAATAAAACTGAAATTCTTAATATGAGAACAAAAGCTTTTTTTTTTTATTGTATCTTAAAAGGGGGAAACCTTGGATTAAGAAAGCTAACATCTGACATTACTCTTAAAGTGACTTCTAAAATGATTAATGAGAAGAGTTAAGGTGGTACCTGTGATATTTTTTATGAGAGAAGCACCTTATTCCACACCTGCACTATAGCCATAGTCTCACAGTCAGACATCCACTTTGATCCACTGCATAGCCCCTTTTCTGGCCTTTCTATACACCTCACTTAAGTTTTGGTTCTCATCTTTGGCATTACCCATAATCCATGTAACCCCTCTCCCACATGGCTGCCCTTTGGGAGTTTGAAGATCACTGCCACCACTTGCTCAGAGTTGTCGCTTCTCTCTACCCTCATATGTTCCCTTGTGGGTAGTTCAGTCTGTCCCACTAGGAATATGGTGCTTGGAGCTGGACTCTGAGCAGAGTAGAGCTGCTATCTCCTCATAGCCTAAGGTTACTAGAGCCTCTTGTGCACCAGTCAAACTGCCTCCTACTCTGCCTTTTTTTCACACAGCACCCTTAAGTGACATCTCTCCAAGTTGGTCTGCTAGTAACTTCCCCCAGAGCATAACCTTAGAGTGTTGACTATACTCATGTTTGTGTTGAGATGTGCAGGTGAATGATGACCAAGAACCAGAGGACATTTATGAAGATGAAGATGATGAGAACAGTGAAAATAATTGGCGCAATGAATACCCAGAGGAGGAGAACAGTGATGGAGAAGAAGTTTGCAGAGGTAGGTGGGTGCCAACCTTGGATGGGGAAGGACTGGTGGGATCCAAAACTGAGGTATGAGCACAATTGACAAGTACATCTTAACTGGCTTTACTTTGCCATTGAGCTCCAGCAAGTCACCCGTGAGCTGTTAGAGCTGAAAGAGGCCCAAGGTCCAGTGTTTCCAGGGGGACTGCTGAGGGTGTAATATCAGTGAAGCCTGCATTCAAATCCTTAAATTAGGTCTTGGACTAGTTATTTCAACTCAGTAAGCCTCTTTTTATCTCCAGAAAATGAGAATATTGCATCAGCTTTAGTAGTTGGGGCTAAGTGTAACTTCTAGCTCATTGTCCCTTTGCCTGCTTCAGTCAAGACAGTACTGGAGAGGTTGGGTAGAAGGAGAAGGCCCAGAGGTTTCACAGATCAGTTATGTAACCTCTCAGGAAGATGGAACCTGGGCGGAAGAGGTAGGAAGGATACTTTGGTGACCCAGTTCCTTCAGTGATTTTATGTTCTAAGTGCCAACACAAAGAATTTCTTGGTGTCTGTTAACAGAGGAACAATTAAACAATAGAATGATCTGAAGAGGTACCTATAATCTTTTGAAAGGGGCCAGGTACGAAGTTATATTTGCAATATGACTACAACTATTACAACCACAAAATCCTATACTTAGGGGAGAGATGACAAAACATCCCAAGTATTAAGGGACTTGGTTTAAATGGTAGCAATATGATTGTTCTTTAAAAAAAAAAAAAAGTTCTAAATTCTCTTTACTGAGCAAGTACTTTTATAATGAGGAACAAAAAAAAGACCTTTTTGAGATGGGAAAGGGCTCTTATGGTCACCCATTCCTGTTGTCTCATTCTAGGCTCGGATGAATACAGCAGCCTCAGTGAAGAGGAAAGAGGCAATAGTAAACCACGTACATGGAGCAAATACCCTTTGGACGTGCAGAAGGAGTTTGGCTATGACAGCCCCCATGACCTGGATTCCGATTGATCCTGTGATATCCCTGTGGGTTCTGTAACTGCAGTATCAGCACCCCAGTAACATCCTCTTGGGTTTCCTAGCTTAACACATAGAAGGGAAAGCATGTCCAGCAGCATTGTCCTACCAGTGAAAACCTGTACTAAAGGAATGTCTTTTCCATCAAGAGTAGGGCCCCTTTGCCTCAATCAAAAATGACCCTACAGTCTGGGTCTAAAATGAAGCTGCCCTAAAATGCCCTAAAAATGAAGCTGCTTGGCCCAGGCATTTCCCCATTCTACACTGAAGCCAGGAGGTGGAGGAGAGGCTTCCATTTCCTCAGCCCTAAGATGCAGCTTGCCCATACCACCAGGCCACCTGGCTTCAGTAAAAGCCTGTTTTTTTTGATAGAAGGAATCTAGAAGGGCTGTAGTGCTTCCCTGGTAGCAGCACAGACTGGATAGTAATGGCTATTAGGGAATGAAGAAGAATCTGCCTGAGTTGTGGAAGGTTTAACAGCTGTCTCTCCTTCCCTTTGTCCTGACTCTGACAGTGATTGTAAAGACTGCTCTTCCTTTGGTAGTGGTGCCAAGGAACGGGGTTTGTATGACTGTGATACTCTGTGTTTAGTAAAAACTAACTTTAAATGGGTGTCAGTAATTCCTTTAAAACCTTTTAAATCTGAAAGTCTTAGGTATTTCCCCACTGTACTCTCTTCCCTCCCTGACTTCCACCAAAAACTGGGGGGGTTAGTGAGACAAGTTTAAGAATTGACCTTAGACTGAGGACTTAAGGCAAATGGAAATGGAAATCACATGCTGAATTTAGCTTTCCACTGAGAAGTGTTAACTATTCACAACAGTCAACCAAAAACAAATTCTATCAATAGGACCAGTTTCGTTGCCAGAACATTTAGCTCTTGTAAGCAAACTCTGACCCTACTCCTCTCCAAACCACAGATGCCTTAACTCTGAGTTGGCATTTATTCCTCTAATGTAATGTCCAGTAGAGGTATATGTTCTCTATCTGCACTGTGAAGGAATAGCCACTAGCTGCCACAGGTAATGACTGCTCACTTATGAAATATGAGTAGTGCAACTGAGAAATTGCAATTTTTATTTAATTTTAACATAACTAGCTGCATGTGTCTACTGTACTGGACAGCTCAGGTCTAGGGAATAATACATAGAACCATCAATTCAAGAAGTGCCCTCTTGCCCTTTGGCACAGATTCACTGTTACATGGAAAGGTGAATTACACAGGGATATGTCTTCCCACCTCTTTTAAGGTTTCATAAGCATCTTTACTCTCCCATCCTGCCTCTTCATTCTTTCACTTTTGTCCATTTTGTAAGTCTGTATCTACAATACTTCCTATCTACATAGGAAGATAGGAGTTATTAAGCCTGACAAAGTGATTAAATCGATGTGTACTCAGCCTCTACAACTATGGCTATAAAACCAAAAGACAGTTTCCCTCCTAACTATACACAAAGGCACAATTCAGTGTCACGAGTAACAGGAAGGAACTTAGGTGTCCTATAAATACTGCAAGTCATCTTAGTCTCCTGTAGGTATAGAAGCAAAAGATTAAAAACCACTCTGCCATTACAGTGCATTCACTGCTATTTATGTACTCATTAAGGTTTGCCAATATTAAAAGACTGACAACATCACAAACTGTACCCACTGTAAAAGGGATTAACACACCAGGAAGATTGAAGGAAACAAAAAAAGACTGCAGAAATTAATTTCACCATGAAGCTTGAGTGCTGTAGGGAGTCCCTGGCTTCCCTCCCAAGAAGGGTTCCTGGGAGAAGTCTATTCAGAGGGGAAGAATGCAGTCACCATCCAGTAATGAGAGGAGGATGACATGGCTCATTCAACGTACTAGGGTACCTGGAGTGAGAGGCCCTTGCTTCCCCCAGGAGCCACTGGGGGGCAGCAAGTCCCTGGGATTAACTGGTCATTTACTTCAGTAGAGAAAGCTGAAGCCTGGGTCAAGGATCCTAGACAAGCATGCTCTGCTTAAAGGATTAGCTCCAGAGGCTCCCTGGGATAGGCGCCAGCTTGGCTCAGACAGGACTTATGTTACATAGTCTAGGCAAGTCAGCCTTTGCGTAAGACTCCCTGTTGTCAGACAGGAATTTGCTGTGCAAATCCCCAACCCGTGACAGGAGGAATGGCACCCCATGTTCTCACAGGTGCATACCCTGAACCAAAAGAACTGTGATCATGCTGTCCTAAATTGTTGAGTACACCTGACCAAGGTTGATGGAGGAGAACTTCGTCAGAAAGGGAGATTGCCTCATAGTTTTTGTCTTACCGTTGACCAATTCTAAGACCTAAGACAAGAAGCCCATGAGGCATGCCAAGTCATCACGTTCTTCTGGGCCCAGGATGACAGTGTCTGGAGATATCTCAGGACAGTTGTACAATCCATTGCAGCCATGTTGCCCATGAAGGAACATCCGTTAGGCCAAACCTACTGTTCCGGCCTGACCTGGGTGCTAAAGGGAAGCCTGAGCACCAGAATTAGTTGCTTCTAATCACGCGGTCTGCTGAGGAGCCAGATTGAGGTTGAAACAGTTTTTTTCCCAGAGTCTCCATTGACAGGGAGAAAATAGAAGTCCCCACAAGTACCAAGCTCTTCCTGAGACTAGCCCCCCCAGACCTCGGGCAAGGGGAGGCAGGCATGAGAGGAGTGCACTATCTTGATGATCCACACCAAGGCAGCTCAAAGCGTAAACAGCCTGGCGTCAGGGACAGAAGAGGAGGATGCAGCTTGGTATGAGGTTGTCAGAAAAAGGAAATGACCACTTATAGCACCAACGTGGGCTTGGGTGAGTCTGCACAGCAATCCCTCACACTGGCCCTTAGAGAGAGAGAGAAACATAACATGCTATTTGGTGGCTTGGGTCCATGAGATGGCCTCAAAGTCACTGAAAGCTGAAAGAATTCAGGTGATCTACCTGAATTCTCAAATAGTTCTCTGTCCTCTTAAAGTTCATACCAGCAATCCAGAGATTTACTTTATCAACTAGAACAAAGACCTAAGGACTCAAGTAAAATAAAGGATTATCCTTCAAAATAACAGTATTACCAAACTTCTGGCTCATGAATTGATTGTTCATTTGTTCTTGCTAAACTTGAGCTAGGAGCTTATAACATGTGACCTGTCTACTAAAGTATAACCAGTATATGAGTTAAAAAAAAATCTTTAAAGTTCACCTTTGCAGGTAAGACTCAATAGAAGATTGTGCTAAACTGATGAAAAAAATTTGTGGTCAGAGTCTGACTCACAGCCGCACAGAGATACCTTTAAAGGCAGAGGGACTCAGTATTGCGTCCTTTGTTTTGAATTTGAAACACAATCTGCCTATTGCATCCTGTAGATGAATGAACACCAATGCTCTCCTAAGAATGGTGTTCTGGATGAAATAATATCGATAAATTATTGAATACAACTGCCTTCCCAGGGAAGGATTTTGAATCAGGAAGAAATGGTAGCATTTCAGGTGTATGAAGTCAGGTACTTAGAACCAGACCGAGGAAAACTTCCCATAAAGTAGCCCCTTTGTGGAGACTCCTGATTCAAACCACAAATATCCAATTCAGAAACCACCAGCCACAGCTATTACCCTACCACTCCCTCTTAGCCCAGTGCAGCTCACAAAGTGAGTGTCTGTAAGGGCTGCACCTACCAGGTACAAAACGATCATTCCCATGCTCCCCAAGCCCTCCCCACCCTCTGAGGTCTCCATCTTTAGGCAGGCCCCAGACCATGAGTCTCCTCCCAGGGCTTATCAATGACAGTGACCACCTGAGCAGGCCTCAGCCCTGAGCCCCTTACATAATACCGACCAACAGGTTCGTTTAGTACAAGAGGTTGGGCGCACAGTCTCGTCATCCGGACTTCGGTGGCCATAGCCACAGCCAGCCAATATTCAGGCCTCGGCAGGTATCACCTCTGCCTCTAGTCAGTTTTCCTCTCAACCTTTATCTCTTCAGCTACATCTAGCTCTGTCAGGACGCAAAAGCAGAGTTTCTGGGTGACTTTGGTGATAGCAGCTAAATGAAAATAGAGAAGAAGAAAATTCAGTAAACTGATATTTAGCTACAGCCCCAATCTGAACACCACATGGCTGATTCTAACTGTGGCTCCCTCCCCACCTACCCCTTGGGTATCCTGTGCCCCTCACCCCCAACAAGCCTCACTGGCCTCCATCCCCTGCCCAACCAGAGTCTGATGCATGACTCCATCTTCCTGTGTGGATTGCAATTCCAGGAGGTGATGTTTTAACCCCAAAATAGGACTCTATAGCTAGAACTAAAGTGATATGTCAAGATCAAAAGGGAAGAAATCGTGTGGAGCAAACAGGTCACCAGTGTATCAGTAGTAAGGGGGCAGCTGTTGGCTACCACCCCCCACCTCTTCACACATCTGTATACACACACACAAGGCCAGTGAGTGATGGGCAAAGAGAAGCTCACCCAGGACATTCCGAATAAAGAGAGGCCTCCGAGACTCTGGCAGGTAAACACCCAGGAAGTAGACAGGGACCCCAGAGAGAGCGATCCCGATGCCAATGAGGGAATTGATGGTGTCACTGAAGAGGGGCACAATCACCAGAAACAAGGAGCACATGCAGAACACGATGGGAAAAAACAGGCTCAGCTGAAATGGAGGGAGGTGAGATATTAGGTAAAGTGCTTGGGGGAATGGGGAATTGGGGAAGAGGCACCCACCCCTCCTAGAATGCCCAGAGCCACTGACCTTAAGCGGCCGGGGCCACTTGGGCTCCCTCCAGCGAAGGTAGAGCTGTCCAGCAACAGACAGGCCCACGAAGAACCAGTAGCTGAAGCTGAAGTAGTTGATGAGCAGGAAAACATCCTCCACAGTGAGGTAGACAAGTGTCATGGTGCACTGGTGGAGGTGGGGAAGGGGAGTAGGAGTGGGCATTGTCAACACCAGGCTACCCCAGGAGACTCCACCGTCCAGCAGGCAGCACCAGATCTGCTGCGGACTGCTGGTTTAGCTTCACTAGATTACCTCTGGTTCTTTTCAGTGACCCCTAGGCATCAGATAGGTCCATTCTCCACATAGCCGTCTCTCACTCTTCTGGTGGGGTCCCTTCCTCCATGCATTGCCTCCCTTCTTTTTACAAGCACTTGAATAATAAGTCAGACTCCTTTCCCCTTCTGATAGCAGCCAATGAGGCTCCCCCTCACTTCAGTGCACCAACCTCAACAACAATCACACTGTGCCCTCTGGACTCCATTACTCCCGGGTTCCAACTACCTGGCGTATGAATGGAAGAAATGCCTCCAGAACCATCTCACTGTCCTGGGGCCTTTGAAAAAGATTAGCAAAATGGATCCATACCCCTGGGGAGAGAGGTATGAAAGAATCTGCCCTCTGGAACAAGAGTCCTAGAAGACAGGAGCCAGAGACTAGAGTCCTGGGACAAGGTCAGATTGGCTTAAACTTCAAGTACATGGAGTTCCCCCACCTCTCTTTTCACTCAGATATCAATAATGGATTTAAAACAAAAAGAGCCCATTCTGGGGAAAGAAGGAGGACCCTATACTGAAGAAGAAAAGTGAGGTGGAAGATGACTGATTTAAAAGACAGGATGTCATATCTCTCCTAAATGTATAAATTCAGTGCCATCCCAATCAAAATACTGCGAGAATTTTTTGTTATTTTGATAAAAATTATACCAAAGTTCATTAAGACAAACAAGCATGTGAGAATTGCCAGGCAAATTCCAGGGATGAGGGGCAGGCGGCACTCTCAGTCCTTCTAGTTGTCAGATATTCAGTATAAAGCTAAATAATGAAGCTTGGTGCTGATAGGGAGGATTGAGACAAACATTTAAGGAGCATATGACTGTACTTGGCACATAGGAAGGACCCTAAAAGACTAGATATTATTTTTATATAATAAAATTTTTTTAATTGGAAAAAATGGATTATTCAATAAATGATATTGGTATAGCTGGCTAGCCAGTTGAGAAAAAAATTAAGTGAATCCCACCTCACTCCATACACCAATATATAAATTCCAAATGAGTCCAAAACTTAGACTTAAATAAGGAGCCCACAAAAAACTAAATGACAGAAAATATGAACTGTTTTTCAAATCTTGGGAGTAAGGCCTTTCTCAGGGTCCCTGCTGCCTTTGTGTCTGTGTGATACCTTAGTGCAAATCAGAGAATGGTGACCCTTCGTCAGGGTCCCTTTCATCTATCAGAATACTTTCACGATTTACTGATTTTATTGGAATGAAACACCTTACTGCCACCCACTGTATGTAAATCTATGGTGTCTATTATATGAGTAGAGGCCCCTAGGGTAACTGGTGTAAAGCTGACCTGGCTTTTCTAAGTATGATTTAATTTTTTTTAAAAAGGAGTTGTAAGGAGAAAGCAGAGAAGAAAAGAAGCTGCTGACAGAATAGATAAATCTTATAAATTCATTTTTATATTCTTTTATAACATGTGCCTTCTCTAATATGATTATATTTTACTTTCATATTTTTTTTAAATTTTAAGAAAAAGGAAGAAACCCTGAGAGTCTTGGGAATCATCTCAAGAGGCCAGTGTACTTCCCACCTGTGGGTCTTCTCACCAGTCAGCAGGACACCCATACAGATACACCCAATTCCCCAGTGGAGCTTACATTGAACAGTAAAGCAGGGATGGGTGTAAAACGCTCGGTGTGGATCATGGACAGAAGGTCTGGGAGGTGACCCTCACGGGAGCCCACGAAGAACAACCTGGAGGGACAAGTAATGTGTCTGGAGGATTCTTTTCCTCAGCCACACAGCCACACTCACTCAGACAAAGTAGGCCCAGAGATCCGGAAAAAAGTAGGGGGGGCAATCTCTCAGGAGCCTCCCATGTTCTCTATACATGCCCAACCCAACCTGCCCCAGCCCCTTTACCCACAGATGTATCCATCCTCCAACCGTGGGCACTTCACCATTACCCATGAATGCCCCACCCCACTGATACCCACCCCCAACCCCTCAGCTATGGAAGCCAGCACCCAGTGGCTACCTCACCCTGCCATCACCCCCTGATGGTCACCCACCCAAATCCGTCCCACCAAGGTGGGTAACGCTTCTGCCACCCCACGGATTTCATACTTAACACAATGGCTTTTTAAAGGTAGCCAGACTTCTATTGTGCCCCCCATTTATCTTCTCTGAGCTCCTGATATATGATGGGCCAAGGCAAACCTGGGGCTCAAAGAGACAACCTGGGCTTCCTCTCTGCACCTAAAGAGCCCCACCAACTGGGAAACAGAGCAGGGGAGAAAGGAAAAGCCACCCAGGGTAGCTGGCATCATCACAGAACACACAGCACTCTCCACGCTTGGGGTGAATTGGGAACAAAATGTTTCACAAGAGATGACCACATCTGGGCTGGGAAGAACAGCTGAAGTTTGCCAGAAGGTGGGTAGGTGGGAAATGGCACCCACAAAGACAAAGGCTGAGAGGATGAAAAACTGTGGCCTCTTTGAAAGTTGGTGCCAGAAGGCTTATATTCCAAGGATAAGGGGTGTGAGAAGAGTGCTGGGGAAGAGCCCATACATGAGGTCATGCTGTGGAGTCTGAACAAATATTGACAGCCAGCTGTGCCTCTGAAGTAAAGGCCTGACAGAATTTTTTAAAATAATTTTTTAAGTTAAAGTATCATTAATATACAATTTTATGTTGGTTTCAAATGTACATCAGAGTGGTTCAACAGTCCCTGTGATCAACTTACATTGTGATTGTGAGTTCTTGTGCCCCTTTTATTCCTCTCCCACTCCCCCCAACCCGTGCAGCTGCCCACACCTTTCTCCCTTGGTAACCACTAGTCTCTTTCAGTGTCTATGAATCTAATGCTGTTTTGTTCCTTCTGTTTTGCTTTGTTTTTATATTCCATAAATAAGTCAAATCATATGGCACTTGTCTTTCTCTGCCTGGCTTATTTTACTGAGCATAATACCCTCTAGCTCCATCCATGTTGTTGCAAATGGATTTCGTTTCTATTTATGGCTGAATAATATTCCACTGTGTATATGTACCACTACTTCTTATCAATTCACCTATTGATGGACACTTAAATTGCTTCCATATTTTGGTTATAGCAAATAGTGCAGTTATAAACATAGGGGTGCATATGTCTTTTCAAATCAGGGATTTTGTTTTCTTCAGGTGAATGGGCCTGACAGAATTTGACACAGAGACTCTGGTGGCATCAGGGAGGCCAGCTGAAGCAGGGAGAGGCAAAGGTGTGGGGCCAAGGGCAGACAAGAAGGTCACCTATGTCAACTGCCCCAAAAGAGAGGAGGCCTGAATGGGGGTGGACACCCTGGCTGAGGACAGAACAAGACAGGTCTGATAACCTCAATCAAATTTGGTGATCTTGTGTATGAGTGAGTGAGTGAGTGAGTGTGTGTGTGCATGCGTGCACATGTTTGAACTGGGAGAAAAGGGTGGACACCAAGGGAAAAACCAAGAGACCAAGCAAGGAGGACTGATGGACCATAACACCACAACTGGAGACGAAGCACCTGTGGGCTGCAGATTAAATCTGAGATACTTGTGGGCCATCCAGGTGGATCCACGGAGGTCGATGAAATCACCTGGAAAGTGTCACAGGACAAGATGTTGGGAGTTGGCTTACAAGGTTAATAATTTGTTCTAGATAGAGAAGAAATATGGTGGAGGGGGGTCCTGGAAGGGGATAATACAGAGGTGAGGCAAAGGTGTCTAGTATAAAACCAAAGACAGCTGCATGGGTAATAAAGAAAAAGTGAAGTAACACAGGCAGAAGCAACTGTATATTGACATCACTGCAGTCCCCTTTATGCACAGGTCCAGAGTTCCAGAGTCTTACTCTGTGAGTCTCCCAACCCTACCCCCATCCTGTCAATGCCATGAGCTAGCTGAATGGGTTAGAAGCTCCTACTATCTAAATATTTTAGACCGTTGGAAGAGCCAATTGGGTCTTGGGCTTCAAAAAGAATGAGGCTATGGGAAAGGTGAGGCCATGGGAAAGACCATCTCTGGGTAGAGCAACTTGTGGAGAGCCACATCAGGTACAACCTTGGCCACAGGCTGAAGTGAGGGAAGAAGACATCACATTCTTTTTTAAGGCCTTATTTCTCTATTACTCTGGTTGCCCGAGGGAGGCCCCGAGTACATGGACTGGGATGTCAAAACCAGTGGGAAGAATGAATAGGACAAAACTTTTATTAATTCATCCTCCTCCTATCTGTTCATGTGGCAAATATTTGTTGAATACCTATTACTCCTGGCCCTGGGGACAGCAACATTTATCAGGCGAGTGAAAGAGAAATCAGGAAAGAAGCCATCCTCTCAGATGGCAGTGTCGCAGAAGCCACGGGAATACATTCAGAAGAAGGTGGTGGTAAGCATCACTTGCTTTGGGAGTCCAGCAATATAAGGACTGAAAGCAGGCTAAGGAGGGCACTGGTACCCTTGATAAAAGCATTTTTTAGGTAGTAGAAACCAAGGTATAATGGGTAGAAAAATGAATGGTAGTTGATATGCAGATCATTCCCTCTAGAAGTGTGTCCAGTAAGGAAAAGGAAAAATGATAAAAGATGTTCTGTGACTTCTCTAAGTGGAGACAAGAGAAGCTTGTGCAGAGCAGCCTCCAACTGAATGTCCACAAAAGAGAAGGGCCAAGTGATGAAGCAAAGTGACAAAGGAGAGGGGATGCACTGGAGCCCTGAGATGAGGCAGCAGAGTCAGCCTGGAAACAGAACTGCTATTTTATCTGGGACAATGAGAAGGACAAGTGCCCTTAGAGGGAAGTCCCTGCACACAGAGGAGGGCCAAAGCCTACCTGTTGGCCTCAGTGTTTTCTGTCAAGTCAGGGACAGAATCACAAGGTGTTTATTTGTCTTTCTCCACCTGGCTTATTTCACTGAGCATAATACCCTTTACATCCATCCATGTTGTTGTAAATGGCAGGATTTTTCTTTTCTTTTTATGGCTGAATAATATTCCACTCTGTATATGTACCACCACTTCTTTATCCATTCACCTATTGATGGACACTTAGGTTGCTTCCATATCTTGGCTATAGCGAACAGTACAGTGATAAACATAGGAGTGCATATGTCTTTTTGATTCAGGGATTTTGTTTTCTTCAGGTAAATGGACCTGACACGATTTGACACAGAGACTCTGCTGTCATCAGGGAAGTACACAGCAAATGTACACATCTGGAGGCATCAGTACCTGGTACACAGCAAGTGCTCAATAATCATCAATTAGAGGAATGAATCATAACCCACCAGGAGCCTAACAGAGTCGCTCCTCCAAGCTCCTGCCTTCCTCCTCTCCACCTCTTACCCATCTGTCCTCACCACAGATGGAAATGTGAGTGTGGGTAAAATTGCAGTATTTCTAGAATCTCTCAACAGGCCTTAGTGCACCTCCCTATCAATAGGTGTTTCCAAGGGGTGGAGAGAAGTAGTCCATCTCCACATCAATAGATGACTACAAGGGCGAGCTAGGGCATATATAGACCAAAGAGGATGGGTAGGGTCCCTTTCTGCAGCCCAGTCGCAAGAGACAGGGGTGAGTAGAAGTGAACGACTGCTTGTAAGCAATAAATGGATTTCTCCCACTTTATTTCTCCCTTTGACTGATTTCCATTTTAAAGGTTATTTGCCTCAGGCTGGGAAGATGTTTTCCCCCCAGAGTTATAGTGAGCTACCAGCACACAAATGTTTGCACAGAGGCAAGTACATACATGCACACATGTGTACACACACATACACACCCTGCACATCCAAGAGAGGGAGAAGGAAAGGAAGGGTTCTTATGGGTTCACCTTAACCTCAGAGAATTAAATATTGTAGTCTGTTATTGGTGAAGCAAAGACACGGTACCTTGATGAAGCAAAGATGGACGCATTGAGGCCCCCAAAGCAGGACAGGGCAACAGCAATGGGAATGGTCCAGCTGAACATGCCAAATGTCTGGTCAGCAAATGTCTGGGGGCAGAGCACAGGAGGGGCACTTAGCACAGACAGGGTCTCATAAGCCCCCTGGATCCATGCTCTCAGGACAAATGCAGTCACTGCTGAGCAGCCCACCCTCTGACCTAGACACATCACCTCACCCTGCAGAGCTGGACTGGCTGCGCAAAGAGATTGAGCCATTCAGTATCCTAAGATGACAAGCAAACGGGGATCCCAAGAGACTCACCACAGCCACAGCATCACTGCCAAGGACGTCTGAAATGCTCAGCACTGTGTAATAGGCCACATTGGTCAGGATGTAGATAAGCGTCACAATTGGCATAGAAATCCCAATGGCCAGGGGCAAATTTCTGTCGGGACAGTTGAGATAGGACTACTTAGAACCAACCTCTCTTTGGGGTCAAAGTTCACCCAGTGATTTCTTCCTGACATTTAACAATTCCCTGGCCTCTGGGTCTTTAAGTCAGGCTCGTTTTCCCCACATGGCCTAGAAGGGGTATATATGCCATGCCCCTGGGCTCTTTCTACTGAGAAACAGAGAGAAAGAGAGACCCTTGTCTGTAAAGACAGCCCATGATCAATATTAGATCCTCACCACAGTAAGGCCAATGGGTCCCACCGAAGGAGGAACAGTGTCCTCTAGGGACTGGAGGATGGTTTGGGGACCTAACTGCCTAGAACATGGTTCTGGCTCCCTAGGCTTCAGTGTCAGCACCAGAGTGCCAGGTCCTAACACCTTAGCCCAGTGGAGTCAGATGCCCACTGAAGGACCTCTCCTCAAGGAAGGCCCTGGGGACCGTCCAGCATGAACATGCAGGCGAGCAGCCAGGACCTCTCCCACCTTCACTCATTCCCATCTAAGCCCTGATCCCTCCAAGCTGGATAAGGATAAGCAGGGAGAAGAAAAAGGGATGAGAAACAAGGGGGAAGAGGTTAGAGGGCAAGCACGCCCACTATAAGCAGGAGTTCCTGCCAAGTTGGGGAGGGAGAGTGTGATCCCGCCTTTACCTTTCTGGGTTTTTGATTTCTTCTGTTACAAAATTAAGGGTGTCCCAACCTGAGTAAGAGAAGAGGGCAGAGTAGAGGGCGAGAGAGAGGTCTCCCATGTCCCAGGAGGAACCCTCAAAGGCATCCTGAAAGTGCTCAGAGTGTCCTGCGGGGGCAAAGGCAAGTGGGGGTGGGGTCGGTCAGGGAGAAGGAAGGAGGAGAGGAGATACGAGAAGAGGAAGGATGGGGAGGGACAGTAAATAAGGAAGGGGAAGGAAAGATGGAAAAAAAGGAGGAAGGAAGAGGGTCAAGAAGAGAAGGTTAAAGCATGGGGTGGGAAGAAGAAAAAAAAAAACACATAATTTAACACCAAAAGAACAACCACCACCAGCTCCCTGCACTTCACCACCCCACCCACTTCCTCAGGGAAGTTCATATTCCTACCTAGTAAAACTAGATAACCTCAGAAAAACAAAGGGATTCCTGGCTGCCTTCTGAAGTCGTAACACCTTTCCCAAAGCCCTAATCAATCTCTACTTCCTGCATGTGACCTCACAGCTCTTCTTCCTATTTTTAGAAAGAATCCTCTTTCAAATAAGTTGTTCTTTCATTAACAATTAGATCTTCCTGTGGAACTACGTCTCTTGGCCCAGACCACTGCACAAGTTGTTCAAATGGGTCTGTTTCACAGAGAGAACTCTGTTGCTCTTCCTTGCAGTGCCTGTGGTTTTGTAGGGCAGGAAATCATAGTCTGCATAGGAACTGGGCCTTCTTATCTCTCACTGGACCTGGGCGATGTGCCTTAGAGAGCCAGCCTAGGCACCCATCTTTCTCCTTGGAGGCCTCCAGAGACCATAGACTCGAAAGCTTAGGGAGCAACACCCAGTGGCCCAGGATAGACCTGGACATACTGAAGGTTTTTAACAAAATGCAGGCTTCTAAGGAAGCCTGTTGTCACCCCTCTGTCAGAAAGCCTAGACCCATCCCTCAGTGTGGCAAAGAGGGCTAGGTGTGCAGCAAGAGACTCTCAAACCCCAGCGGTGTCAGTCATCACACACAGCAGTGGTTTCCTAAGGCACCATCTCTATGGGAAGATAACTCAGCCACCCAATGTGACCCCCAGATGTTCCTGAGACTCCAGGACATCCAGATGACTGGCTGCACTAACTTGGCACATGTGCACAAAGGGGCTGGACCAGCTGCCTAAGACTCACTGAAGGCACTTAAAGACAGAGATTTTTACTCCACACCAACCAGAGTTTGATCCAATAGGTCTGAAGTGGGGCCTCAGCTTCCCAGTGATTGTGACAGCCAAGTTTAGAGACAGGTGATCTAAAGAACTGGGTTGTTAAGTGACTGAGACACCTCAGGACTTCTCTGAGGGCTCAGGAGATCTTCGGTGGCCTGTTACCCTCACTGCCAATCTGCTCTGATCTTGGAATGAAAAGCTTTCTAGAGCCAACATGCAGGAAAGTCAGTGCCAACTTCACAATATTTTAATATCTTGTTGAGAGCTCATTTGGAGAGGGAATATTGAATGAGAGCAAATCCAGGCAAAGAGTAAAGCCTGCAAAATAGCCACTCAATTCCATACTCCATCCTCCCACCCCTCTCAAGGAGGGCCAAGTCTTTACACCTTGCCTGGCAGTCAGAGCCAGAGCAGGGCTCACTGTACCCATACTGGTTACTTTTATGACCCAATTATGCACAACCCAAGTTTCAAGAGCTTCTAGGCTCTCAGCTGGCTTCCTGCACTCTTCCGAGCCTCCATTAAGGAAAAGCTCCCCTGAGGGATGGACTGATGTCCAGTAAGCCAGCCTGGCCCAAGAAACCCAGGAACAGATCTCTGGCCATCACTGACACTGTCTAGCATGTGCACAGGAAGAGCTGAGCAGTAGAGCTAACAGAGTCCCCATGTCTTTTTCAGGGAATCCAGGAGGCCTCCCAGAGCCATCCACCCTCCCTCCCACCTTGGGCCCCTCTTACCCTGGCACAATTTAACAAGGCCCATGACAATGATGGCAATGAGCGCTAGGACCTTGGCGTAAGTGAACGTGTCTTGCACACGTGTACCCCACTTGACATAGGCACAGTTGACAAATGTCAGCAGACCTAGGAGGAAAATCATAAGTCATTGGCAGGCTTGAGCTGAAGGCACAGAGGCCCAACCTCTCTTTCCAGACCACTTCTTCCCTATCTGCTAAGGCAAAGGGGAAAATCGACGAGTCAGACCCAGGAAAACAGGCATTTGCATGAAAATTCCTGCATCTGAGGGCTCCCATGAACATCCCATCACTGCTGACAAGTAGAGATATGAAGGCATGCATTAACACACATTGATCAATTCCAACAGCCAGAACCATTTTTGGAAATTCCCCCAGGCCAGGAACTGTGGACTTCACCCACTCTTCCCCACTGAGGCTCCTAAGGTTCCGGCCATCCAAGGTACAAGACTTCTCTATGGCCACATTAGAGAGGAGGGGAAGAGAGGCCCATCAATAAATGAGGTGAATTTGAAGGCAGATGGCAGATTACCTAGGAATTAAGAGAGACAGTGCTTTGAATGTAAGTATAAAAATAAAAAACCAGTCACATACCCAGCAACTTCACATACAGCCTCTCAATTAATTCTCCCAACCCCCAAATATATTATTCCTAAGCTCATGTGGACCCCTCTGATTTTGATTTCCCCCATCCAATTCCTACCCAAGCCCCCAATCCTCAGTGAGGCCCATGGGAGAAGTGAGCTCGCTTGGGCATTCCCCAGGCTCCTGTCAGCATGGCTGGCTTTACGCTGCAGCTCCTTACGAACGTCAGTGATATCTGAGCCCTGTGTTGAGGGTCCCAGCACCTTACTCCTGCTAAACAGGGGCTTCTCTGGTGCATGGGGAGGACAAGAGAACAGAATACAAGTGACACCTCTAAGTACTGCCCCAAGCCTCCAAAAACAGAACTTTCATGTGAACCTCCCATGTTATCACAAATTTCTGGGGCTTATCCTCCAGGCCACCTCCACCTACTCCTATCCATTTTGTGTTCTCCTTTAGCCAGCCAGACTCTCTCCTTTCAGGTGCCAGATGCACACACAAAAGAAAGTCCTCCCCTTCTTCTCCTGCAATGGCCTACAGCGACCCCCACTATCAAGGTCTAGTTCAGTCCCCAATTTCTCTGTAAAATCCTTGCCAAATATACCAGCCAGCCCCTCACTGAGCTCTCCTCTCCCTGCCTGAATTCTCCAACATTCCCAGTTCACCGGCATAGCTTAGTATCTCATTCTATGGTCACAAGGACATCTGTCTCAAGAAGGTCTCTCCCTCAGGCATTTGGGTGGTGCTTTCCCAAGGAGATCAAGAATTCTTGGGAGAAACAAAAGCATACTGTTTTCTTAAGTTTATTGCATGGCAAAGAGGGGAACTGATGACCGTGGCTGGAATCAAGATGGTGATGACTCACTTCACTGTCAATTCCCTGGAACAAGGTAATTGTCAGAAAGTTGGACATTCCTCCCCTCCAATGGGAAGAGCCTAAGGCCAGACTGTGGAAATAAACACCCGTGGCTGAACAGCCTGCACAGCACTTTAAGGGCTTCACTCAGTACTCTGGCAAACGACACAGTGCTTACTAGTTAGCTACAGGAGGAGGGATGGTGGAGGCAATGGTCAGGTGGGAGGAGAGAGGGCCAAAGGAATGTGTGCTGCCAGCAGCTCTTCCCAGGGATCTGCTCTGCTAATCAAAGTTCGCTGGGTGAGGTGGGGCTAAGCCTAGAGCAGCTAACCAAAGAATTACCCAGTTAATAGCCACCAGTATTCCACAGAGCCCTGTGCAATACAGTCAGCATCTTCTGAGGTTCTTGTCAGTCCCTTCTTGGGAACTGCTCCCCATCTCCTATCATGGCTGATGGAGTCAGACGGGGATCCAAGCTGAGCCTATTCATTGACTCTCCCAGGAACAGAGTCGGGGTACCGAGAGACTGAATCTAACAGTAGCAAAGTCAGGAGCCACAGCAAGTCAAAGTCACATACAAGGCCCTGCAACAGAGAAACAAAAACCACAAGAAAGCAGAGGAAGGAAGTAGAACTATGAAAAAGAGCTGAAGTGAGAGGGTGTGCAGCTTGTGAGAAAAAGACCCATGGGGAGAGCACAGAAATATGCAGAAGACAGAAATAAAGGGGGCCAGAGACAAAGACAAGGAGACCAAGCCAGAAAGAGGAGGATAAAATGAGAGAGACACAGAAAAAAAATGATGGACAGAGACTCAGAGAAGGAGACGGTCCCACAGTGGTCTGGCTGTGTTTGTTCACTGTGTTTCTGGTTTGCAGCACAAAGATGTGGCTGCAAGATTGGGGACAGCAGCTGACACACTCCTCTGCCCCACTGACAGGCTCCCTCTCACTTCTGCTTCTCCTCCGTGCTACAAATCTCCCCCTTGGCTTGGTGCCCTCTGCACAGGATTAAGTGTTATACACAGTGGGAACTCAATGACTATGCACTGACAGATGAAGGAAGGTAGGTTTCCCGGAAGTCCCTGCAGAGCCCCTTCTGAAAGACCAGCTGGAGGGATACCAAAGAGCCTGGTCACAGTGGCTGCCTCTGGGGAGAAAGGGTAAAGCTCTAGAGAGGGAGGGAGACTTTTTCCACTGTGTGCCCTTTTATACTTTGACTTATTATTATGCACATATGCTTTTCTCAATACTAATTAAAATACTTAATTTAAAACAATGTGCACCCAGGGAGCAGGGCCAGGAGTAGGACGGAGTGAGGCCCTCACTGTCAGGGGGCCACTTGGAGAACCAAGAGTGAGTACATCCTTAAATGCTGGCCCCAGGAGCCTCTCTTACTTCACCCTACTTTCAGCCTGCCAGGGAACAGAGAGCTCCAAGAACAGTCTACCAGGCAGAAGCCAAGTCCCCACAATGTTTTCCTGATTCTTACGAAGAAACAAAATTTCACCATCTGATCTCCACCCCTTCATGCCTCCCAGAACCCCATCCCCCCATCTAGCACCAGACACTATCAGAGCTCAAACACAACAGGGCTGGGCGTGGGGCCAGGGGCTCAGACTCAACCACCACAGTCGAAACAGCCAAGTCTCCCCTCTTCTCCTGACCTCATTTCCTTGCTAGAAAGCCTGCACCAATGAGAGCGGGACCTAGGTGAGGGTCTGCAAGGCTCTCTGGGAGCTTGTTCCTGAGAAGGGAGTACTCAGATGGCAGATCCAACCCAACTCTAAAGCAGACACAAATCCCCAAAGTCTCTCTGTGGCAAAGACTGCTAGTTATCTTCTAATATCCGTTCTTCCATTTTTCCTTAGTAATAGAAATCTTAGCTGGAGTCATGGCTGCCCAAAATAAAGCTGACATTTCCCAGCCTGTCTTGCAAGCAGGTACAGCCAAATAACCAGTCTTGCCTCAGAGATGTAAGCAAAGTTTCATATAAATAAGACTTCAGGAAGTATCTTGAAGGGTGGAGCATGCCTTTCTTTGTCCTTCGTGCCAGCTGTAATGCAGGCATAACAGCTAGAGCTTGAGTAGCCATCCTGGACCACCAGCCAGAAGTCACATGCTAAGGATGTCAGAATAGTAAGATGGAAGGAAACTGGTTCCCTGGAGAATTACGAAATTATCCCACCAATCTCACACTGCCTACTTTCAGCATGAGAGAAATAAATTTGTTTATCCAATAAATATGCTTTTAGTTTTCAGCTGTTTGAAATCCAAACCAATCCTGAATAATACATGTGCCCTAAGTCAGAACAACACCTCCCACACTCTTCCTGACGAGGAGCTGGCCTGGCAATCCGAATTGCAGTCCCAGTCAGGCTAACAGCTATGGCTCCCTTTTCCCAGAAGAAACAGGGAGGCAAAGGAACCCTTCCAACTCCTCCCACAAACAAGCTGGGTGTTACTAAGGTGCACTCAAGGACAAAGTACAATTCTTAACAAAACAACAAAAAGGTGGGAGAAGAAAAAAAGAGGGGAAGACCCATCTACAAGTCTGCTAGGAGAGAAATGTTCTACAACAATCCAGGAGAGGTAAAGGCTTCCAAATGGAAATCCCAGAATCAAGAGCTTGGTATGTGTATGAGTATGTCATGTATCTGCCTTTTTTCAAAAGCCTACTTGTTTTTAATTATACAAATAAGCACATTTAGTCTTACTAAAACAGTCGACCTATTTTTAGGGATAGAGTCCAAGGTCTTCGAGCAACATGGTGAAGACCCAATGCTCCTTAGGCCTGTCAGCTCCAGAACATGAAAGCTGTCTGTCTCTATACAGCTACAACTGGCCAAAATAGGGGAGCATACCTTCCTCCTCATAACCCTGCCCAGGTCTACGTCCAAGACAGCAAGACACAAGGGAAAGCTATTCGGACACCATACAGAGTTCTTCACTCCAGTTTCACACTGGGGTGTCTCCCTCCCCTTCCTCCTCCTCCTTTTCTTCCTCCTCATCCATCAGCCTTACCAAACAAACCCTCAGGGGAAATGGTCTCAGCTGTAAGCAGGACCCTGCTTTGATGCCACTGTGTCAGAGCTGAATGACTCCTATGTTGAAACTTTCACAGCAAATACTCCCCATTGATGTGTGTGAGGCTGAACACAAGAGTCAGGATCCCAGAAAGATAAATGGGCCAATAACACCTGAGCCAGAAAACTTTCTACAGTCAAATCAAGTACTCTTACAATACTGAGCACTGGGTTACTGAGAATACTGCTGGTCACCAGGCCAGAGAGGGGATCTATGGACCTCTAGAACTGCCATTTTCCCCTACAGTCCCTTAAGTGAGTAAGAGCCCCTAATCCACCCGCCACAAGAAGATTCCAAGATCCCAGAACACAACAGAGCAGAATGCACCTTTAGGATAGAGTTTCTCCACCTCAGCACTGTTGACATTTTGAGCCAGGTAAGTCTTTGTTGTGGGAGGGCTGCCCTGTGCATTTATAGGATGTTCAACAGCAGCCCTGGCATCTATGCTTTAGATGCCAGTAGCATCCCTTCCCAGCAGCTATGACAATCAAAAATGTCTTCAGACTTTGCCAAATGTCTCCTGGAGGGCAAATTCACCTCCATGGGAGAACCACTGTTCTAGGATAATAATTAGCTCAGATAGTGTGAAATCCAAAAGAAAGCTGCTTGGCTCTCCCCGCAGTAGAACCTTGGATTGGGGGAGGATCACCAGGAAGCCAGATTCTGAAATAGCAATGCCTTCAAGGACCAAGAAGTTAATACAAATGAGCAGGGGCAGAAATGTCTGGGTATAAAACAGGAGTGGGTGAGGACTGGAGTGGACTGGAGAACATATGCTCCATCTAAAGGGAGTAACCATTACTCAAATGCAGCTGATTGTGTCAGGTGGGAATTTGGTTCCAAGGTTACCAGAACTTTTGATTTTTCAAGAGAGAGGGCAAGTCCTGATTTTCACATGTTGGCAAGTAACAAAGTTGTTTAGAACACTGTGCAGGCCAAACAAATATATCCGTGGGTCAAGTCTGGTCTGTGAGCCATGAGCTTACAGCTCTGCCCTAGAGTGGGTTACTTGGAGACTGCCTGGGCCTTTTTTTCTAGATGGAACTTTTCACTGTCTAGCCTGGCATGGCTGTAACTTCCTTAGGTAGTCTCCCAACCAAAAACACGGACCCCTTTCATGTCTAAATGTCAAGACTAATTTAATTCTTCTATCCTACCTAAATCTTACCCTGGATTCAGTGCAGATCTTTTTTCTTACCCCCTAATTATGACCTACTTGTTTTCTTCCAATTTATGTCTCTTGAGACCAGGCTGTTTTCACTGCCACCCCTGCCCAAGGAAACTCCCTCCAGCACATCCCAGCTTTGTTAAATAATCCATCAGCTGATTCTATACCTTAAATTATGAGAAGAGAAATAAGCTGAACCCAAAAGCCTAGTTGGTTAGGATGGAACATGGCTTTATGACTTGGGACCACCTCTGACAAGTTCCTGCCCTCAGGCCTGCATTATGGAAAAGCCTAGGCTTCTGGGACAGGGGGCTTGTAGGAATTCAAATCCTGAGTGATCTGGGTAAGAGTACACTTGAATGAAAGAAGCTAGGAGATACCATGATTTAGTTTTTAAGAGGTGAGTTCTCTCCTTCAATCAAAAGAGCTGTTTCTGGTATGGGGATTGAGTTTCCTAAGCACAAAAACAATGGGGAAAATCATAAAGGAAAAAACATTTACCAAATAAAAATCTTCTGTATATGAACAATTATATAGGGAGGTGCCCTTTCTCTCAGTTATTCTTGGAATTCCTCCTAAGGCCATCAGGAGATCAATGACCAGGCACCACCGGGTACTCATATAAGAGCACAAACTAACAAAACCTTCTAGAAAGCAAGTGGATAACACATGAAGGATCTTAAAACAGTTTACTTCTTTACATGCAGGTTTTTCTCTTGTATAATTCTACCCTATGAAAATATGCAGAAACTCTAAAAATGATATCTATATGAAGACTCCCACAGCAGCATTATTCATGATAATAGTATTTTAGAGCACTTATTATACGCCAGGCAGAGAGAAGTACTGCACATGTATGGATTCATTTATTCCTCACAACAGTCTTCTAAAACGGTAGAATCAATATTCCCATTTTACAAATGAGAGAAATACGGCAACAGTTAACCAATTCTGCAAAGGTCAACAGTTGGAAAAACAGCTGGTAAAGCTGAAATCAAACCCAGTCTGGCAGGGGAGGCTGTGGGCTTAACCACTACACTACAATGCTGGAAACTACCTTTATATCCTCAGACCATGTTTTCTTAGAATATTTGATAAAAGGGATAAAATATTAAAATTTTTTAAAAGCAGTATACAAACTACAAAGAGTATGATCTCAAGAGTATGTCTAAAAAATAAATTAGATAAGCACAGGAAAAAAAAACTGGGAAGTATTTCACACAGATAGTGACAGTAGTTCTCTAAGAGTTAAAATTATGGGTGATTTTTATTTTCTTTTTTCTATTTTTTTTACCTTCCTTAGGCATTTCTTTGTTTTTTTCTTAAGAATATTCACTTTAATCTACAATTACATGAAGAACATTATGTTTACTAGACTCCCCCCTTCACCAAGTCCCCCCCACAATCCCCATTACAGTCACTGTCCATCAACGTAGTAAGATGCTGTAGACTCACTACTTGTCTTCTCTGTGTTGCACATCCCTCCCTATGCGCCCCCCACATTATACATGCTAATCGTAAGGCCCCCTTTCTTTTTCCCTGCCCTTATCCCTCCCTTCCCACTCCTCCTGCCCAGTCCCTTTCCGTTTGGTAACTGTTAGTGCATTCTTGGGTTCTGTGATTCTGCTGCTGTTTTGTTCCTTCAGTTTTTCTTTGTTCTTATACTCCACATACGAGTGAAATCATTTGATACTTGTCTTTCTCCACCTGGCTTATTTCACTGAGCATAATACCCTCTACTCCATCTATGTTGTTGCAAATGGTAGGATTTGTTTTCTTCTTATGGCTGAATAATATTATTTTTTTGCATTTTTTAAAGTGTACAGTCTATGTATCACCTTTTACTACAAAAAGATACACACTCTACTTTTAAAAATGTTTCTTTTGAGGAAAATTTCTTGAAAAAGGGGAAACCTATGATATACTAAGATTAAAAAGCAGAATATAAACTTATATGCAAAGTATCATACCAATTCTATAAAACAAAAATGAAGATATGATTGAACTATTAAAAGTACTCATCTCTTGGTGGTAGATTATGGGTGACTTGAGGCTAAACTAATGTTCTCCTTAGTGAACATGTTTTATAAGTATAAAATTATTCCCTTTTTTAGAGATTTCAGTCAGGTCAGAGTCCCCCTGGCCAAACTCTGTCAGATATACAGCTGAGTACCCACCTTCCCTGCCCCCAAGGCCATCTGCAGAGGGGCTCCTTTTAACATCTGTCTTCAGTGAATGCCTTCAAGTCAGGAGGCACAGGGTACTGCACAATCCTTTACTGCTAATTCCAAGGCACTCTCAGTCTATTTTTAACACTGTGGATAAACTACATATAGTGCCAAAGCTTTTGCAAGCAGAGAGATGGAAAGAACAGAGTATAATTAAGTGCCTCTGGCAGCACAGTGCTAAGGAACACAGGGAATTCTGGGCCACTTTTCAGCTAAAACGCTAGCTCTACAAGACTGGGTAAATGCACAGAAATATTCTCTCCCCTTCAGTCATTTCACACAGATTCCCTCCTTACCACCTCATGAAAAAAAAAAGAAACTGAAGAGAGATCCATTGGGCTTTCTCAGGTTCTGTCCTCAGAAACCCAAATATGGGGTAGAAGCCACCTTCCTCTCACTGGCCACAGGCAAACCTTGTGTACAAAGTCAGTGTAAAGAAATCTGAAACACCAATGGGAAAAAGCCATTTTGGTATGGTGCCTGCTGCCAGCGCAGAGCACGGCAGCAGCAGGAAGGCGCAATCCTGTGGGCCTGAGGATAACACCTTAGGACCCCAACAGTCTAGAGAAGCCTATTTCCTCATAATGCCTTTAAATTGGTTTACAATAAAAAACTGGGAGGCAATATAACTTTTTTTTTGAGCAGCAGAAAAAAGGCCTCAGCACTGATGGTTTTTCCTGGGTTAAGTTACAACTATTGATGTTGATTCCAACCAGAACATATGACAAGACAAATATAAAATATGCACCAACCTGTCACTTAGACCGGGGAGCAGAACAGCCAAGAGTCAAAAGAATGTGAGGCACCAAAAGCCACAGACATAGATTCAAACTTCTCTCATCCTCATCCTTTACCCTTACTTATCTCTCAGGATCGAATGACTTTGGTGAAATTACTTCTTCAAAAGGTAAGATGCCTCTCTTCCCCGCAAAAGCAAAATATGCTGCTCAAATATAAGGTACTTATTAAAGTAACCCACAGCCCCAAAGATACTCTGCCAGTAAACCCCCAGACTTACATATGCAAGCAGCAGCAAGGAGACGGCAGGCCAGGTACGGGGGATCACAGGTGGGGAAGGAGGGCTGGATGATGTAGTTGGCAAAGGTGATGGCGATGATGGCCTGACTGGTGGGCTCAACAATTAGAAGGGAGGCCCAGAGGCGGATGAAGGCAATGAAGCCCCCAAAGGCCTCTAGAATATAAGCATAGCTGGCCCCAGACTTGGTGATGGTGGTCCCCAGCTCCGCATAGCAAAGGGCACCCACAACGGAGAAGAGTCCACCAATGGCCCATATGACCAGCGACAATCCATAGGAGGCAGTGTATACCAGCACACCCTTGGGCGAGACAAAGATTCCTGAGCCGATCATGTTGCCCACCACCAGGCTGACCCCGTTCAGCAGAGAGATCTCCTTCTTTAGCTGCATAGTTTCTGCAGTCCCCTGAGGTTGCATGCTGACGTCTTCTTCCTCCATAGGCTGGCTAGCCTCAGGAATTAGATGGTAGGTGGGCCTTGGGCTCTCCAGCTCCCTGGCTTCTGTGGCAAATGTTTCCTTCACACTTGTGTTTACTGTGGCCTGGAAAAGAATATAAATATGTCAGTCTAGGGCAGAAGCTGGTGAGGTTTACATGGTTTACACCTGCAATGCAGGCAGTTTTCCCTGCTCGCCTCTTGTGTAGGGACAGCATGTCTCATACACAGACCTAAGTACCATGAACCTGTCTCAGTTCCCACCACAGGACACAGAGAAATGGAGGCAGGCAGACTTTCACTGCTCCCAAGAAAGACACCAGCACAGCACAGGCACAGTATGATGGCAACTTCCAAGAGGTACCTGCCTTAATGCGCAGGGTAGGCTGGAATTAGGTTTATCCATAGCACAGGTTCCTCCTGAGACGTGGTTTTTGCTCTGTTCTTACCAGCTTAAAACCTGAAAACCTGTCCCTTAGAGAAACCAGTTCCAGCATCAGGTTCACAGCCCTAGCCAGCCTTATAGGGCTCTCACTGTCCTTACCCACTCACCTCCCCCAAAACATCAACAAAGACCTCTTCAGTGGTCGGCTCCATGTGAAGAGGTCTGTAGCTACTCAGCCCAGCCAAGATGATGAGTGGTAGTAGGAAGGCATAGGAAGCTACTAAGACCAGGGCATATTGCTATTGCAGAGAATGGACCAAGGAGAGGATCGCCATGAAAATACACACTGGTGTGTCACTGTGCCCACAGCACCCACCTTACTTCCTATATTGTTGCTCATACATTCAACACCTTTCTTTTTCCAAAGTGTCCAGAAAAGAGGGATAACATAATAAGATCAGATGGAGAAAGAAAATCAAGAGGACACCCTAACCTGGAGCTCATCAGCTATGCATTTATTTGCTTTCCTCCTCAGCATGCCCCTCACTACCATCTGGGTCTGTAGAGACTCTTCCAGGACAGGACCCAGGAGACTTAATATACAAGAAAAACTATAAGGCTTCTCTAATCCACAGATATGACACTGGAAGGTATCCTGTAGGGAGATGGCAACATTCACATGTACGTACACACACACACACAAAAGCTTTGGTTTAGAGTGGGGCCAACCTCTAAGCCTCAGGGAAGAAACCTGAAGAAAGCTGAATTCCACACCAGCCTGCCTATGATGACCCAGAATCTGTCAGAAGAAGACAAGCACCTTCCTGACTGTGCACTCAGCATGGCCTTCTCCCTCCCTCAGTTCCTACGGCCCAGGCATCAGGAGTTCAGATTACCTACCCCCACCTTATCTTCTGTAGAAAGAGATCCTGTAGGCCATTTCCCACCAAGGATTCTCACCCAGGAGCCAGTTCTTCAAGGTTACAGAGATAGCTTTCAGGGCTAAGAATGGAATCAGAATCTTCCCAGAAGCCTCTCATCTATTCAACAAAGATGGATGTACTGGAACCTTGCCTCCTGGAGCTCAAAGCAAGGGTCTCACAGCCACTCAAGAATGAGTAGTTCTCAGGGAAAACTCATCTCCAGAGGCTCCACCAAAACTCCTACCTTACCTGTTCCAGACCCTTCCAGAGTCTGGACTTGAGCCCAAGTGAAAAAGTTCCTCAGGGGCACCAGTAAACCTTCCTTTACCCCCAGAGTTGAGCCAGCCTACGTCTGCTGAGATGAGGCCTGGCTTTAAGGCAGCACCAGCTTTTCTTTCATTCTTAGCACCAAGCCATGCAGGTTTCCCTAGGCGGGCATGTGGGAACACATTTGCCTTCACGTGTCTGTCAGGTGAGCCAAGGCATCCACAAAAACAAAACCAGGAAACAGCAGAGGAGCTGGTATTCTCACATAAGAGTCAGGTGCAGAGAGACCTGGGTTGCCCTTTTCCACCCAACTCAACACAGAGGCAAGCAGACAAAAATTTGGCCCCAGTGACCACTCGAGCCTACCCTGTTTCATCAGACCCTAGCTCCAGGGAAAGGGGGTTAGGGCTACCAGGTTTTCTTTTAGGACTTCTGACACCAGATGTGTGGGTTTTCTACACATCAATCAAAAACAGCTGGGTGTCTTAAAATTTAACTTAATTCTGACACTACTTACCTGGAGATAGCATCAGATCCCACAGGTGAAGGGTTACCCGGCCCCCAGCTTCAGATGCCAGTCAAAAGTCCAGGTTGTTACCAGTGCTTCTGACCAACTGGCTATAAATCAGTTTCCACTACCCGCTCCATGGGTTCAATTAATTTGCTAGAGTGGCTCAAAGAATTCAGGAAAACAGTTTACTTACCTGTTTATTATAAAAGGCTAAAACTCAGAAATAGCCAAGTGGCAAGATAGATCAAAGTATATGGGAAGGGGTGTGGAGTTTCCATGCTCTCTCTGCGAGCCACTCCCCCAGCACCTCTACCTGTTCACCAACTGGGAAGCTCTCCAAACCCTGCCCTTGGTTTTTGTATGGAAGCATTGTTACAAAGGCAGGACTGATTAAGACCCTGGCCATTGGTGATTAATTCAACTTCCATCCCCTCCTTCTTCCCCAGAGGTTACACTGGACTGAAAGTTCCAACCCTCTAATTAGAGGGTTGGTTCCCCTGGCTACCAGCCTCATCCTGAGAGGATCTAGGTACTTTCCAAAAATCACCTCATTAATACAAACTTACAGGTAGCTGACAGGGGCTTGTTAAAGAAAAAACAAAAGGTATCCATTTCACCTTTACTGCTCTGGAACTATTTCAGGAACTGGGGACAAAACTAAATATATAAATGCCCCAGACTATTTTTTAAATGCCCCTATGGCTCTTATAGGATATTATAGGAGCTGTGTGCCACAAACAGTGGTGGACAAATACCAAAAATATATTTAACCACAATATCATAGGGAGAGAAGAAAACTGGTAAGCTCATTTCAACAGAAAATAAAACTTAGTATAAAATGGAATTTCCTTGACTTCTAACTTCCATTTAGGATATAGAAAGCTGGGAAAACATTATTCCCACTCTAATGACAAGAAAAAGCCAGATAATCTATAAAACCATAACTTTTCTTGAAGCCATTGGGGAGCTGAGGTTACAGGGCAATCAAATTCAAGGAAAAACAAGCACCTCCAAGTAGAGGGGCAAGCTCTGGCTCACCTGTGGCAGAGAATGATAGGACCAACATATAGGCAGGTAAGAAGAAATCAGGTTCAATTTTTAATGAACCACTACAGGTCAAGCATGGGTTAGCAAGAACAGAGACACTCAGAGGTTTTTCTCCACAGACCTCAGTGGATGCATATAAGAAATAGCAGGCAGGATGCTACTTCTATAGCTTTTCTTCTTCCTTCCTAATTACAACCCATAATAGAATTCGTGCCTCATATCAAATTTACTGTGTATCACAATTCTTCCAAGTGGTAAAGATACCTCAAGACAAATGCTGGGCATAGAAGCCACAGGGCATAAATATGCAAAGAAGTAAAAAACTAACCTTTTCAAACAATAAGGCTTC